TTCATTGGTTTAAATGGTTTTCATGCTATGCCATGGAGGTAAGGGTACTATTACATTTGTCGTACGACAAATTTTTCAAGCGTGTCGATTGGCCGCTGAATAGAAAGTTTCTAGATACTCGAGAATTTTACTATCCTTCAGCCAATCAATACACTTAAAAACTTTGTCGTACGACAAATGTAATACCAGCCTAAGGCTGTAATTACATTAATTACTTTTATTAGAACATTTTTTCATAGGCCATTTCCATTTACAATAAATAATGTACGCTAGTTCGTACGCGCCTTTCCTGGATACGATCCTGAAAAGGGCTCAGGCACTTTTAGCCGTTGATACACTGTTGCACGGTCTTACATACAGGTCTGGAAACTCAGGCAAATTTTGGTGGTGGGGGTGTGCCAAAATTTAAGCCATTTTTAGTGCACAATCTTGTCACCACAGCGTGTCGCTGTTATCGCAAAGTGTTGTAAAAGTGGAAACATAACCATTAAACTCAACGTTAGTGCATGGCTCGGTATACATTCCAACGAATTGTCTTGGATAGTCCATAATGACGAATTCTTGCATAGTCCCGAACTATATAAAAGCATGTATAAATCTGTAAAATTATATCTGCCCGAACGCAGTCAAGGTTAGAGTCTTGCACTGACCGATAGCAGCGACACACAGGGCGAACTAATTTTGGCTTAAAACTGAGCACTACCCCCACTACTCGAGTTTCCAGACCTGTATGTAAGACCGTGCACTGTTGGGACGATCAAAAACATGGCGGAAAATTGAGAACGCCCAGATCAAAGGTGCCGACAGAGAGTGCCCATACTGGTTATACTGTGCTATGCACATGCAATGGCCCGTCGCACACAAAATTACATTTCTTGAAATCTGACAAAGTATCATGGCGGCACTATCTGAATTTCCAAGAATTTGAAACTTCAAATCGCGAATCCCGAAAACTGCAAAAGTATCAGGAGAACATGATCAGCAAAGAGGTGGCACTATCTAAAATTCCAAGAATTTTTCAGTATTTCCAAGAATTGGAATTCCGAGAATTTCAGACTTCAAATCGCGAAAATCGAAAATCCCGAAAACTGACAAGAATATGATCGGCAAAGAGGTGGCACTATCTAAATTTCCAAGAATTGAAATTCTGAGAATTTCAAGCTTCAAATCGCGAAAATCAAAAATCTTGAAAACTGACAAAGTATCAGGAGAACGGCCTTGCACGAAACCTGCGTTCACAAACTCATCGAGGAAGACACCACCTAGTTTCGTTCAGAACGCGTTCCAAGACTCATCGAAACCGCCCGCGTGTTAACGTCTTCTCCAAATTCACTTTCGATGTTTATGTTACACGAAAATTTGAATCTCTCGATTTGTCAGTGCGGCTCGGAGCTTGGAAATATTTGCAAGTAACGAGACGAATGTCGATCGATCGATTGATCGGTCGGTTGGTTTTGTTGTCTACTTGCCACTTGTTTATTATTGTTCATCGTTCGTCATTCGATCAACGTTATTGACAACAGTGGCATGTGCATAAAAATGCCAACTGTCGCACTTGAAAGTTAAGGTATCGCGTCACACGCGGCGTAATCTCATCGCGAATCGTGTCATCCAGTGCAATTAGAAATTAAGCAAAGCTTCGGACAAAGACGAGAGAGAGGATGTTGTCGACTCCAAAAACGAAAGGTGACCTATTTCTGGCCTCGTCTCTCTGCGATGGACTCGAGGACAATAACATAAGGTATGTATGTGTATAAATGTGCCAGATGTGCATCTTGGTGAAAACTTGATGATAATTTGTGAAATCTGACTGAAATAAAATCTTTTCTGCCTGTCGCACAGGCAAGTGGCAACGCTCCTGTTAAATAAAGATGCAGATCCTAATGTCTTGATTCCAACGCACGGAGTTACTCCGTTTCATTTAGTTATCGGTAACGATTCGGAAGAATTTGCTGAAGAAGTGACCAAGCTCTTCCTGCGTCACGGTGGCAATCCCAATGTGAGGTATATATACATATAATCTAAGCCTATAAACGATTTATATCTGTATTTGTGCGTAACAATGTATTTTCAGATCAGGGGACGGGATGACTCCGGTTCACGTGGCAGCAGCCTGGGGCAGAGTAAATATACTACAGTTACTTTTGGCGAATGGTGGTGATCCGTTAAGTTTGGACAATGACGGACGTAGTCCATTTCACTATGCCTTTGATGGCAAGTATTTCAAAGCCGTAACAATGCTCGCAAATCACTGTGAGAATACTCGAGACGAGGATGACGAGCCAAAGTATAATTTGGTACTTGGTAAGCTACACGAGCATTTGATCCATCCAGGTAGTTTCAACTGTTGCATTATTACCTCTCGATATTGCAGACAAGGTTGTAGTTACTAATGGGGACATGGTTGCCGAGTACATTGCGTCGAGAGATCCCGCATTAGATGTAGACAGCATGACAATGCGAAAGGATTGTTCCAACTGTAAGCCAGACTCCTCCTCGATGGTTGTAGATTCGAGCCAGCGCCGTGTGCCAGATGTACGTCCCGTTATGGAAACCACTCGTATATCAACTGCTCGAATGCAGAGTAATTGTTTGCAAACTGATAAGAAGCAAGTGCTAAATTACTCGTTTGTTGATCTCGACTTTGACTTTGCGAATCTACATCTTTTCGATGTCATGCAAAAGGAAAAGTGTCTCGTCAGTCGTATCATTAAGCGGCTTTCTTCGTCGTTAACAAGTAACTGCGCTATTAACGAGACCTTACACAATTACAAAAGAAAGAAACGAAAGGAAAGGAGTCGAGCAACAGGTAACTCCGACACGTACCATCTAAAGGGAGATACAGGTGCAAGTTACAAATGTAAATATTATCCAAGAAAATCAAAGGATTGTCCATATAAAATGGAGAGCAATCCTGAAAATAAGGTTGCCTGGACACTTGGCACTCCGAGCACTAGGAGACACTACGTAAAGTATAATGTGCAAAACTCTTGCAAAAAGAAGAAAGAGTGCAGAGATATCTCTGGCGAAATTTTCTCAACGCCAGCTCGTATCCACGATAATTCTATCATTAGCATGTCGCCGAACTTTAACGCGTCTGGTCATAGAAAGAGAATGAGCATTTGTAAATTAACACCGTCGAATATTTGCAATGATTCTATTGTTAGCAAATCGCCTAATTTTACCCCAATTTGCGCGAGGAAGAGAAATCTAACAAAGCCGTCACGTGTGGATTCCCTCAAAGTATTGGAGAGATCTCCCAAACGCAAAACCCAAATGCAATATTCGAAATTTAATTGGTACGAAAAATACGTCGCTCAGTCAACACCAAGAAGAAAGAAACGATCGATCTACAAGTTTCATTCTGGGAGAAAAAAGTTGGATTCTTATCGGTATGAAAGCGATGTCACTTCTGATGAATTTACTTGTAATAATGTATTAAAGCCAGTTGATTTGGATAAAACGGTCTTTTTCAAGACAGCCGAAGATACAACTCGTTATGACATTCTAGATACGAGTAGCGAGCTTTCATCGTCAGACTTAAAAAAACGTCCGAAAGCGAAACGACAAAATCAATATAACAAACATTTGGCAATAAAGTTGGATGACGGAAAATACGACGAGAATGACGTGACAAATAATAACGGTAATGTAAGTGATTTGGACGTAGCAAGTAGCAGCTTTAATGAGATTGCAAAAGAGAAGAAATCCGTTGAGAGATATGTAACATCTGAGGATAATGAAAGAAGTGCTGGATTTATAACAGGCAGAAAAAGTATTTTTAACATTGACAAAACGCTGGAAAAATCCATAGATGCTAATAATATAAAATCTATATATACAACTGACAAGTCTGATTCGTTGCACAAGAGCAATTTTGTAGACTGTGTCGATTGTGATATCAAGAGATTATTAAATGAAGATTTAAATATGAATATAAGCAAGACTTGTAATTTACATGCCAAAAATTGGTACAGCGATAGATTTCACGTATATCCGTTACATAAATGGTCTGTAGCAAATTTACCTATACGATGCAAGCAACAAACTCATTTACCAGTTTCCCAAGAGTCCTCGAGTTCCTCGACAAGTGCGAATTCCAACAAGACGGGAGGTTTACTGAAAGCAAAAGACTCGGATACGTATGAAACTGCAGATAACTCGTGAGTGTGGCACAGAGTACATCTTAATAAATAACAACAACAACAACTTGAACTTAATGAATTGTAGGTCTTCGCTTTCATACGTCAGTACTCGAGAATATAAATATGAAGATCCAGAGGAAGGTGTAGTTTTATTAGAAAGGCGACTTTGTGTAACGCCACTTGGGTGAGTTTACAATTTTTACTTTTACTCAATAGTCTTTATAGTCAAGAGGGAGAACTCGAGTTTATCTTATCGAATCTTATCGAATTTTGCAGTAGTTTCAACAACAGTCAGTGCGACGTCAGAAACAAAACGACCATGTCTGGTAAGCTGGAAATAATTAACAAATGTTATTATATCGATAGAATTGAAAAGTAATTTGGCTATTACAGGTACTTGGAATAGTGCATTCAAGTGCATTTCTCAAAGTTTACCAAAAGAGATATTCTTTGTCGACGATGACACTCTTAGACGAGAGCTTAGACAGCTTGGCGATCAACCTGGGCCAATCACCGATACAACTAGACAGCTTTATCAAAAGCGTCTTTTGCGCTTAAGAAGCATCAGGGGTGCTAATCCTGCCGATGCAGAACTGATACCTGCAAATCTGCAGAATGTTGCGAGAGATCGCACCTCGAGGCTAAGCAACCAAATCAGATCTTATCTAAAATTTGGAGATTGGATAAATCACCTGGATACTTACAAAAGTCTGGAGAAGCAAGTATTTCAAGAGTTTGCGTCGCCAGACCCTTCTCGAAGATGGCGCGAGGGCACATCGAAAACATCTTTCACCTATTTGCTGTTAGACCCGCGTGTAACGCAAGACCTGCCAAATCGTAGTGCTTATCTTGGAAAATCAGAAGCTTGGTCAATTTTCCTTAGTGCTATATTTTACATCGGCAAAGGCAAACGGTCCAGACCTTTCGATCATCTTTACGACGCTTACAGAGCACGGGTGGCTGGCTCGGCCGCCGGTACAAATAGAAAAATCAATTGCATCCTCGATGTATGGAAGAGCGATCACGGTGTGATTTGTTTGCATGTTTTTCAAAATGTTATTCCGGTAGAGGCGTATACAAGAGAGGCCGCCATGATAGATGCGATAGGAAAGGAACACTTGGGAAACTCGAAAGGTGGGGAGTACTATGGCATCGCGGCGACATTGGGCATGCAGCAGAAACAGAAGTTTGGTAGATACTTGTTGTACAAAGCTTTACAAATCTTTCTGCAGGAGGGAGAGCGTCAGCTCTTCCCTGAAAACTTGTATTGACAAATTTTACTGCCGCGTCACAGACCATGGTAGATATATGAATTCCTTGGTGTACAGATATAATGCCTGACGACGTCTCATAGTAATTGTGTGCAATTTGACAAGATATTTGTAAGACGAGCTGCTCCGAGCGGGGAAAGAATTAAGCTAATTGAAATTCGTTCAACTTGTATGAACTTGTATGAACTTGTAAAATATGAAATAGTAAGTTATCGAAGGGAATAAACACGCCAAGTGTATGTGGAGCAGTTAATTAATATATTTACTCGTACTACAAGGAAGATACTACAAGTATGGCCTGTCAGGTTCCGTTTTTTTAGCCTTCTTGTCTCTGTTGCAAGGGAACCACCTGTGCTTGGTGGTATACGTGATCTTTGCTAATTCCTCGACGACCTGATAGGGCTTCTTCTTCCTGAATACATCCGCCACGTCCTTGTCTCCGATGCACAGTACAGAAGTGTCGGGCTTCTCCTCGGGCAAAGGTAAAGAGCACTCGTACGGAAACGGTTTCTCCGGATGCCAGCAGACAACCATGCGATCATCTTCCGTAAATATTACCGCTTCCGAGGGTAGAGTGCTGTACGTGGCATGGCTCGCGGACCTAGCAGAGCGTACGCAAGCTCGGATAGTGCGCAACACAGGATTCATCTGCCGTAACAAATTGCGATTAAACTTGTCGCTAAGATACCTGAAATACAATTAATCGCATAACGTAACCTACGTAAATACCTTTGCGTTATTTCAACATTCTATCGTATTCTGATATATCTGATTTATCGATCCCTAACTAACCAATCTCCTCGGCATCGCTCGGCATCGCTCGGCCTCGGCATCGCTCGCCATCGCTCGCCATCGCCTAAAAGCCCTAAAAAGCGTAGTGGTTACTAGTTAGTTACTAGTAGTTGGCGCTCTTTCGCGCAAGAGAGAGAAAGTTTGATTGGCAGGAGAAGCTTGTAAAGCCACTCCACGCGTAATGCGTATGTATAGAACTCGCTGACACTATAAGAGGAGGTGTACTCGTCACAATTTTCAAACACTACTCGAACACGACGTCGTTGTCCAGAAGAATAATTGAGATATCCGATATCGGGGATATCCCTCATGTGTATCCGCACTAAATACGTACTACGGTGCTTACGGTGGTGGCCGGACGAGCGAGTCTGTCATTAGTTGAGAGCAGATTAGCCGTTCCAGTCTCACTCCTATCGCTCGTATCCCGCGTAGATGCCGTAGACTGGCGTAGAGGAGCGTTCGCGGCCAGCCAGCTGAGCCTGCGAAGAGAGAGTGAGAAAGAGAGTGCGTGCGCGTCGTGGAGGATTCCAAACTGTCCAAGAATCCCGAGTCGCAAATTGCGGCAATGTGAGCGTCTCTTGGCGAGTCAACGTCGGATGTCGCGACGTTGTAAAATTGCGTAGCCAACTTGGACGAGTAGCGCATTACTTTTGATACCAAGGTGCGCAAAACTGAAGCGACAGGATGATGATGGGCGATCAGTTTCGCAGCAAAGTGGAGCAATACTCACCCAAGTCCTCGCCAAGAGGAGCACGCTCTCCAGTTGTATCTCGTCAAGATTCGACAGGAACGCTAAAGACAACCATTTCTCTTGGCAAGAACCCTTCCATTGTCCACAGTGGACCGTTTTATCTGATGAAGGAACCCCCAGGTAACGAGAGAATTGTGAAAATGTTAAATCTTAACTGCTCCAAATTGCCCACACAAATCTACCTAACCGTCTTTTAGGGGAAAGTGAACTTACCGGGGCAACAAATTTGATGGCTTATTATGGCCTGGAACACTCCTACAGCAAGTTTAGTGGTAAAAAATTGAAAGAGCAGCTATCGTCTTTCTTGCCAAATTTGCCTGGCATTATCGACAGACCTGGGCATCAAGATAACAGGTAATTCGCTAGAGTATTTGGACTTTACCCCTCACCCCTCAACTCTTCCCTTGCTTTTTCAGCTCGCTAAGGTCGGTGATTGAGAAACCTCCTATAGGTGGTAAAGAGCTGTTGCCCTTGACCAGTGTACAACTTGCTGGTTTCCGATTGCATCCTGGCCCAGTAAGTATTTCGCTGCATTGGAATGTATATAAAATGATTACGTATGCGACATGCTAAATGGCCTGATACAATTTTGCAGCTGCCAGAGCAGTATAGGTACATAAATCAAGCTCCACAGAGAAAGCACAAAAATAAGCATAAGAAGCACAAGCATAAGCCTGGGGAGGTGCTCAGTGGGCAGGAGACTGCGACGACGGACGTAGGTGGTTCCGATACGCATGAAAAGAAGCATAAGAAGCAGAAAAGGCACGACGAAGAAAAGGAGGCTAGGAAGAAGCGAAAGAAGGAGAAGAAGAGGAAAAAGCAGAAGCACAGTCCCGAGCATACCGGCAGCCTCACACCGTCGCAGCATTCCAATTCGTGATCTCTAATCTGTCCTTTTCAACTCATGCCAAATTTTTCATCGAAACTTTCAAGAGCGTCATGTCTATACTTGTCAGCGCGCTAGGCTTGTAAATATAGGTACGAATTAATGATATATCGTTTGGCTAAAAAATAAGTTTGTGCTTGAGCAATTCGGTAAATCTAAATTTCTATTAGCAAGTACATGAATTAACACCCGAATATCCCATATTTACATATTACGAGGAAGAGAACTCTGTCTGCGAATCATGTATATACGTAAAATAAGTACTATAATCTTTTTTTCATTCGGAGGATTGTGTCTGCCGGTGTTTACAAAAAGAGTTTTACACTTGACGAAATTGTTTGCTCAATCTTGTTATTTCGCATGTTACAAACAAACTGAAATCTCGACTATGGTGAAAATGGTATTGTGCGTTTTATTTTTAAAAGTTTTGCCGCACAGGCGAGTTAAATCGTTGCAATGAATATCGTTTAGTTTGTATGATTTTTTACATAATGTGCAGTATATACGTGTGTGTGTGTGTGTGTATGTTTTCTTAAGCACACCTTTGCGCAAGCCTTGCATATTCGAAAGTTGCCTGTATCGGTGAAAGGGTAGTGTAAATTTCGATCGTGTTACAATTATGTTTCTCGAGATTAAGATGTAAATATACGTAACGGATTAACGAAAGAGGACTAGACACTGCTCTTTTCTGCAAAGCTCGGTCACAAAGTTCACAAGTGTACAATTCACGTGCTTTAAGCCTGATGCGATGATGGATTTAGCAGCGAGGGGCGCGAAAGAAAGAGAAGAATCGAATATAGATGTAATATTTATAGCGCGAAAGGGGCACAAAGAATTAAAGTGATCGATTTCGCAACAGCAGTTTGAACACACAGTCACTTCTCCGACCTAATTATCCTTCATTCTCTTCATGTTTCCTTACCTTAGTTTTTGAATTCTGAGAAATGTGTAGCCAATCAACTTGCAGCTTTTCCGTAAAAGGACACAAGGCTTTACGAGGGATGTATCTGGAGATGACGAGAATAACAGTTGCAACAAATGGCGCAAACTAAATTCATTTTCAGTCAATTCAATTTGAGCGATCCGGAATTCTCGCGTTCACAAAGTTCAAAGGCCTCGAATCGAGCGCGCGCGCGCGCGCGCCAAGTACAGTGACAACCGGGCGGAACAGAACGGAGTGAGATCGTCATCGATATTGATTGAATTGACGTTGCGCGGCACAAGTCGCGACTGTCGCGAGTCGAGTTGACGAGATCGAGGATCGCGAGAATGCAGCGTAGCGTACTCGGGGCGACGAGTATCCAGCTGTTACAGAGACGCTTCTTCAAAAAGTACCACGTGAGGGTTAGATTCGCGCCTAGCCCCACCGGTAACGATCCTCTTAATTTAGTCGTAACCGAGGCAATCTCGCATCATCCTTACTCGCCCGTTGCTTGTTTCAGGTGACTTGCATTTAGGAGGATTGCGTACCGCGCTGTACAACTATTTGTTCGCACGTAGCAACAACGGCACGTTTATTTTGAGGATCGAGGACACCGATCGGACAAGAACGGTTCCCGGGGCAATAGAGAGACTCCAGGATGATTTGCTATGGGCAGGGATTATACCCGACGAAGATCCTACCAGAGGTGGCCCCGTTGGCCCTTACGTGCAGTCGTCAAGGCTCGAATTGTACAAGTAAACTTGCCATCTCGTAATCATTCCAATCTTATGTACATAGGACGACAAGAGAGTGTGTATCGTTGCAAGGCAGCTATAATAATTTCAATGCCAAGTTGCCTTACTCGTTATTTCTAGAGAGCAGGCGCTTAAACTCTTGGACAATCGATCCGCTTATTACTGCTTTTGTACGGAGAAAAGACTGGAATTGTTGAGGAGAGAGGCTATAAAGTGTGGACAAGTACCTAAATATGACAATAGGTGTCGACATTTTACCAAGGATCAAGTAAAGGAAATGCTCTGGAAAAATATCACTTATTGTATTAGATTTAAGGTATTTAAGGTCTCTTCTAAACTTATAAGTGTTGCGTATCTCGCAATATAATTGTTGCATATCTCGCAATCAGTTGGCGTCCACACCGGCGGCCTTTCACGACATAGTTTACGGCGACGTGTTGCATGATCTTACCAAGTCCGAGGGAGATCCAGTTATCATAAAATCAGATGGCTATCCCACTTACCATTTTGCAAATGTAGTCGATGACCATTTTATGGAAATATCTCATGTCTTACGGGGCGTTGAATGGCAAGTTTCTACACCTAAGCATATTATGCTTTACAAGTAAGCTATTTCACTTGAGAGAGAGAGAGGACAATTAAATTCTTACAAAATTAGCTCTACTAGAAATCTTGTCTATCGTGCAGAGCGCTTGGCTGGGATCCTCCCATATATGGACACTTACCTTTAATATTAAACGCGGATGGATCCAAGTTGTCCAAGAGACAGGGTGACATCAAAATCGAGTCATTTAGGAAACAGGGTATTTTTCCACTAGCGTTATTGAATTACGTGATAGGGGCTGGTGGTGGTTTCCACAAAGAACGAGAAAACCAACATCTTTACAGTTATCAAACATTAATTAAACAGGTAATTACGACCTGGTACTTTTGTACGTCGAGTTTTCTTCACGCGGTCCGAGAATATATCTTTAACAGAGATATGCTGACATCGCATAAAATTTAAATTTAATTTTCTCTACTTTCATTAATATTACTTTTTTCTGCAATTATGTGAAATAAGTACTTTTATAACATACGGCCTTTTCTCTTGTGTATTTTTTTTCTACTGGCAGATTGATTTACACAATTCTCAATCGCGTAAAAGAAAACCTCCACATGAAACGGATACTTCGAGGCACAACTGTACATCTGTAAAACTTTTACATATATATATGCATATTACGTATATTTACATATATTCTATTTTCCATTCCAGTTTGATATTAATAAAATAAAATCGAGTTCTGGCAAACTTATGCCTGAGAAAGTATTGGACTTGAATAAATTGGAAATGGTAAATTTACTACAAAATGAAAACAACTATAAATTTTTTATCGAGAGAATTAAAAAATTAGTGTCAGAAGCATTCCCCGAATGGTATATTTCATTCTATATACATATCTATACATTTGTACTCTCTGTGTGTGTTCGCATGTCATTAATGATTAAATTCGAGAAATTTGCTTGTATCACTTCCATTTTCTAGGAAAAATGATGGAAATTTACAGTTGGATGACGATCATGTAATAACTACTTTAAAGTGGGCACAAAACAGAATATCGACACTCAATGATCTCGTCAAAGAAGATTTAGCATTTTTATGGGTTGTTCCATCCTCTATGCCAAATGTTCAACAAGCTGGATGTTCAGGTATTAATCTCTTCGCACAACAAGTCATCGAGTTCGATTTGTCAAAGCTGTATTACATATTATTTCAGAAGCGATTAAACTATTAAATGCAGAATTAGTTGAAATAGATGCTAGTAATTACAAGACTGATTGGATGGTACCATACCTAAAGAGTTTTGCCAAAAAGAACCGAGTTCCATTCGCTGCTTTAATGAAGACTCTGAGAAGCATTATGAGCGGCGTAAAGGTAAATGTAGCATTTAAATTTATTTGCACCGTGGAAAAATATGCATAACATAAAATTGTTTCGCTAGGTCGGACCACCTGTTGCTGAAATGATGGAAATTTTGGGAAAAGATAAAACATTGTTGCGATTACAACGTTGCGTTTCCTGAAAATTTATACAAATCCAATTTACATATGTTTTGACAAAAAAGATATAGTTGTGCAGAGACTAATATGCTGCGAGTTTACCAATACTTTTAAAATATTTTCCACTGTAAAAATAATTGTGTCCCACTGTTGGAAGACATAAAAGCGATTGGTATATAACTTGTAATTTTATAATATTACTATTTTTTCACACATTTTTTGATAACTTTTGAATAATTAGTTTACCAATAAACTGTAAACTACAAAACTTTGAGATTTAACTTTATTGTAGAATAGTGATTTCTTTTATACAGCGTAAAAATAATTTGTAATGCTTATACACTCAAGTACAAAAAGATTAATACATGTAGAAATTATGCATAAATATCTTGACAAAAATAGATTATTAAGTGCTCATATATATATATAACAGATTGAACACGTTTATTCTTAAATAGCTTTTTCGATACAATGCGAGACTTTCCTTATGTAGCATAGGATTTCTAATACATGCAAATCCTTGGAAAAAGTATTTGATGTCAGTAATTTCCAACACAAAATCTGAGAACGTCATAGAAGCATGTTTTATAGTAACAATTAGATTCTTTGTGCAAGGATGAAAATGAAAAAATTATGTATAAAAATGGCACCAATTAAACGTCCATTCGAATTGCAATAAAAAGATTATTAAATTGTTATTTATTAATATTGCTACATTAATATAATTATAAATTCTGTCATTGTATCAATTGTAAGATATTGCTTGATAAATTGCCAATTAATATATCTGATATCATAATGATTCTAAATTGCTCGGACGAAATATTATCTTTTCTCAAAAGTTTAGCTTTATTGTGAAAAATCATTACGAGACCAATGTAATACAAATACCAAAAGTTTATGCTTGCGTAAGGCTTACATGTTGCTGAAAAATTAAATACAAATATCTTTTCCTTAATCTCATAGATAGTACCTGTACAATAAAATAATACAGTAAATAAATGAATACAGGATTATTTGTATCAATTTTTCAACAGTCGATTACAGTAAAAAATGAGTAAAACTGTGAATATCACTTGATAAAAATCTTAAGCTGTTCTCAGAGTGCAATTTCAGAATAAGTGTAGATATAGTTAATCAAAATTGAAACTCTATGACCGAAGGTATTTAACACAGACTGATTGACATCTTTATATTATACATTTAAGCTTATATATAATACAAATTTTAATTTAAAAAAAAACTTGACATAAGATCTTGGCAAACCTTATAGTTAAAATAAATCCTGTACCTTGCTAAAATATTTAGATAAATAATATATTAAGATCGTAGAGACAATAACTTCTCTTGTATTACAGATTAGCTTTATCACAGTAGTTTTAGATTCATATTGTAATGTACTTGTATAGTCCTACTCTGCAAATCGGAGATTTGTTTTACGTCTTCTGGATGTGTTTATCAATGTGTGTGTGTGTTTTGTTTTCAATTTAAAACTACAAAATGTATTGATCAATTATTTAGATGTACCAATGATCTGAATAATATATTAAAAATAATATTAGTCGAAGAAGCTGTAAAACAGGTCAGAAATTTTTAATCTCTTTCACGAATATTGTTTTGACTAGCATATATATATATTTCAAATTTTTCATTTTTAGAAATGTTCAAATTATCACTACACACAAAAGAATATATATATGTATGTATGTGTGTGTGTGTGTATGCTGCGCGCGCGCGCGCGCGTGTAAACTACTACGCTGCTTTTATACATATGTTTCAAAGATTAAGTGATAGGTCTAAAAAATAGAAACGTAAAAACGCATACGCAATTGAAGTAATAGGAAGAAAAGGATACATATATATATACGTATCTTTGCGCGTCTGCTCGTTCAGTCACAATTAATTAATAATAATACATTTGAATTATAGTAGATTAAGCGGCTGCGCAAAATTTATCACAGATAAAACGGTAAAATACTCTCATGAGTGCATACATTTGAGAAAAACGCATAGAACACGTGCCAGGTGAAAGAAATGTTTAGAAGACGAACAGGTGCAAGTAGATTCCTAGAAAACTCTACGAATACTATTCTTTTTAAACTCCTCATCTTTATGGATTATCGATTACATACATCATTAGTAATATAAGTAAATCGGTATATCCCTAGGAACCCTAGTAATTGAATATGTTTAAATACGCTTGCTGGTATATCAACATACCTTTTCAACATTTTATCGTAAATCGTGAGGTACGTTTGTCAATTGTTTGTTATTTTAACAAGTGTACAAAACAACATGTACACACTCTGGAAAGAAATACATAATATTATTATAATAATACGATCCTTATTACACACGTGTGGATTACACACGATAATACGAGATTGTCAATTCTGTATATTAGTAATCTTACCGCAGGAATATCTGAAGAATATACACACGAGATAACATTGACGGAATTGTATGTATAAAAAGAGAGCAGAAGGTCAAGTTATAAAAATTGATGGGTATTAAACAAACACACAGATTAAAGTATTTTAACACAGGTTCAAAGTATTTTCAGTTTTAAGAAAACCTTATTCAATTTTTCTTCTTTTTTTGTGTGTGTGGAAGATATTATGTACAAATTAAAAGTTTACGAATATAACACTATTCTACGTAATACTGCGTGTTACGTTATTGCAACAATGTAATCTCTATAATTAAGTTGCATTTAACATTTTTTGTCGCATGATTGTAATGACAACTTTCGTAAAGTCACACGAGATAAAAACACGTATACGAATTTGTGATTTCGTAACTATTTCCAAGTTAAAAAGAAAAAGGGGATACTGTACAATGTAATTAATGCATGTAACATTCAAATATATCTAGACTTTACGTCCGTATTCCTTGTCTGTATGTAAGATTAGTGACTACTAGAATAGGCACTTTTGTCTCTTCGAATATATATATATATATATATATATATATATATATATATATATATATATCGGAATGTAAAGAAATGTTTCTTCAATGCTGCAAATAAGCTGATTAGGTTCGTTAGTGTCTTGTATTGCAAGACATTGTATAAAAGAGAAAAATAAGAGTAAGTCGCGTGTCATAATTTAATTACCATTAAAACCTGTTGGGGTAAAATCTTTGGCAAGATATACTGATCTAAGATCTAAATAAAAAGCCTACGTCTTCCGATAAGAATAATATTCTCTGTGTAAACGTTATAGTAGTCATAGTTTGATTATACTTGGTTTTAAGTTTTATCGGCTAATCGCTTGTATGTTGACTCATTATTTGTTTTGTCATATAAGATGTCACTATATAAATCACTACAGCATGTGTTCATCTATTTCCAACTGTGAGAACTATATACTAGTACTAGAGTGTAATACTAAAGCTGTAACACAAATACGTTTTCATATCGAGATTCCTTAATTATCACACAATACCAAAGTAAAGACGAACAAACGAACAAATGGCTGTTCAGAAAGTGGGAAAATCGCACTGCAATTCGTTCGATTGCGATTGTAATGATTACACATCGTAGGAATAATATTTGATTGTTACGCTGATGGGAAATTGTTATATTACCGAGCGATTCTATATAAATAATTATACTGTTTTTATACGCGCAATAATCGATTATTGGAGAACGTTTGTTATAGATAGATTATAAAAATAGATAAATTTACATAACTCAATGTGGATAAGATAATGAAACTTAATTGTATTAAGGAAGCAGGGGGCAACAAGTTGACAGCCAACCTGCGCGGACCGTAAGGAAGAAAAAACTATTTTTATCATATACACAATAACTTTTGCAAACTTTTCAAAACTACTATAGCATACATTTTGCATTTCTAGCTCTTCTTAACTATCGTTTTTTATTGCCATAAGGAGATATATGTAGAATCACTTTCATATACATCTTGTCCCAAACATTGCTTTTCAAACTAATCGTCAAACATGGTCAAACAACCGAGAAAGGTGAAAATCTACGTGTATAATTATAGAATTACATATTAATCTTATATTACCGATAGCTCAAACTCAACAAGTAAAAGAAGACAATAGACGGAATAAATTGAACGAAATTAACGAGGTGAAGAATACATGTATAAATTGCTTTTCGTGAAAAGTATGAGAAACATTTTCCCAGGAATATACGGCAATCGCGGGTTTAAGATTACACACTCGCGCCGCGTGTAAGATCAATTCAAACGATAGGAATACACACAGTAGTTACTAAGTAGCAACCCGAAACGTTGCAAGTTATTCTAATAATAATCAATGATATAAAAAGTTTGCTATTTGACAAGGAATATTTCTACTCCGTACGCGTGTGCAGTTTATGCAAGACTTTTGTCTTTGTCACTTTACTACGGATTTTATAACGCTTCGTAAGAGAGTGAAGTAAGAGTAAAGTCCATCCCCTTGGGGGATGGACGATGCTTCTCGTATTTTGTACTCTCTCTCTCTCTCTCTCTCTCTCTGTGTGTGTGTGTGTGTGTGTATGCGCGCGCATACATGTGCGTTTGTCTAGATATATAAATAGAATTGCCCTGTAAATTTGTCGCTGCATAACAAATTCAACTTTGCTTCTCATGACTTCTAGTATAGAGTAGATATTTGGCACAGGCAGAGTGGTTTCCTTCCATACAGCAGTAGTCAGCTTAGGATACTTTCCACAGTGATTTACCGCAATCAACTTTCTCCTTTCATCTAGTATGGCTCACTTCGGTTCGCTGATTGAGAATTGTAGTTAACGTTTTAGGGCAAGAGTACAATATATGTAATATATGAATCTATCTATCCTCTATGGACTTGTCATAACAGTTCTTTTGCAAGTGTCCAATTCCAAACTATCTTTTTTCGTCCCATCGACTTGCAATTGCGCATTTGGAATGAGAAAATATAGACTCTCTTTACCGCCGGCTACCTACATACATCCTACACCCTATGCGATCGTACTTGTTCGCTTCGGAGGGACGCGGCATTTTCTACGATCAGTTGTACGATCTCACAATCAGTAATTCAGTTGTTGAGGTCATTGATGGCTTGTAAGATGCGTTTAACATGCCCCACCTTAGTGATGCCCAGCTCCTTTAGATCTCGGCGGGCTAGGGACAATAGTTCCCTACCGCGTATATCGTGAGATACAAATTTGTCAGCGTACTCTCCCAACTGTAGATTCTCTAGCCAGGTGCACACTTCCTGCACGCCCCACGTGGTGACCTGATCTCGCGCCGGATGAGCCGCGCCGCCCGAGTTGCCAGTGAAGCGACGGAACTTTAACCAGAACAACCCTCGATGACGATTTTTTTTATCTCCCTGCAGATCCAGAGTTCGAGATGTCGGTTAGTACACGGTTAGTCAGATTAGTAGTAAAGCGGTATGCTAGTTTATACGGCATACGTTAGAGACATGCTAATAATATGCAGGTGGAGATTTGCACTCGGGATTACGTGATAATGAATTTCGTTTGTTCAGGCATACAAGGTAGCTCTCGAATGACCTATGGTTTGCGATAGCGTGATAAAAAATATTAGGTATATACAGACACTTTCGGTAGACATTAAAAAGACAATATATATATTATATGTATATATATATTATATATAAGATATTCCATTATATATTTATTGCTGTACTTTGTAGCAAGATTCGTATACATTCGCTAAAAGATACATCTCTCACGAGGCTCGTATAAAATCACGAAAGTTCCCCTCTCGTTGTTACAAGACTTGTGCAGCAAACTCTCGCGAAATCATGAGAAAGGCAGCAGAGGCGCGATAGCAAAAGCAAAAGTATATTGCGTATAATTCAAGTGCATACTCGGGTGTGTTGCATCTGCTAATGTAACGAAAAACAGGTAGCTAGGCGTCGCTAAGTATCGTACGTTATATGTCACGCACTACAATAGTGAACTGTAATAGAGCCGCAAGCGAGAATAAAGGAAACAAATAAGAGGCAATCTCTAAATCTCATTTCTCAGCAGATGTAATACATGCATGCGCGCGCGCGCGCGCGCGCACACACACACACACACACACACACACACACATATACACACACGCGCGCATATACAAAAAATAATCAGCATCATGTCTCGCTACACCGTAAGACCAAGTCTCTAAATGCTAATTCTATTTCTCTAATGTCATAAGCATTAATACTTAAAAGCATATTACCAGCATTGGGATTGAGCACTCAATCAATCCGAAACAAAGCATAGGATAATTTATTAATTATCATTTGAAAACAACATTTACACATATAATGTAATGAATTGTAAACTTGTCTCAAAAGAGATTGTAAAATTGTCGTGTATAATCGTGTATATGAAGAGAGGTGCTTTCATAATATTTCTTAGCGTTTCTTTTGTGCTATCTAACTAGCTAGCTAGCTCTCTCAAAACTTTTTACAAGAATAGCGCTTTTAATCTTCCTTTTGGAATATACTGGCAAGATGGAATATCAAATACGAATCAGATAGAGTAGATAATAGAAGACTAGTTTTATCCTCGTGAAAAAATTATAGTTGACTACTATATCAATAGAGAGAGAATAAATGAAAAAATGAATTGTACCTCCCCAAATCTCTCGATATCAGTCAAATTGTTGAAATTATACGTTTGTGAATGGAATAATTGAATATCTATGAAAGAAACTCTTGTTTCGATACATTTGAAATATCAAGTCGGTAAATGCTATTCCGTCAATCAAAATGTATTGTAAATATCACAAAATGTATATGTAAACTTTATCACAATGCAAGATACATGACAAAATACGTGAGAGAAAATATTAATTTCATAATTTGTATCTTGAAATAATTGACTTTAAACAGCATTGCATTAAGCATAAGGAAGAACTATACCTGATCGTCCGCGGGAATATTTTGCAAGTAAACCAGTCCTGTGCCTCCTTCGTCAAAGATACACTTGCGTAATTCCTGTTCCATACTAGCTAGAGATAGGGACAACTTGTTTTCTAAATCCTCTCGTAATTTCTGCGTTATACGAAGGAATGACCGTTGGTTTAATTCAATTCCGTAAGAATGTAATAATAATAAATATGTATACACATACAACATTTGATATGCTCACCAAATTATGGGCTTTATCGCGCAGTAATTCACAAGACTCTTCATACAACTGCCGTGAGCTTGATACCAACTCGGTTACCGTGGGTCTCAGGCTAGTCTATTAACAGGTAGAGAAAGCAAACGAAAGTAAGTGGATTGCAACGCCTGAGCAGATTTCTAGCACGTACCCCGATTAAACACTCACCCCTTGCAAAATTTTACCATGCGGATGTACTTGCTCGAGCACATTTGCGGTTCGCACGGCTATCTGATAGAGATCTGGTTCCAGGCTTGGATGTGAAATAATTAACAGTTTTACCGACTTGACCAAGGTCGTTGCAGCTTCGATGAAATTGAATAGAATGTTGAGTTCTTCGTCGTTCAACTGAGGAGGCTTGCTACATATTTGCAACTGTGCTCTAAGCTGCGACTGGGACTGGGACTGCGACTGCGACTGCGACTGCGACTGCGACTGCGACTGCGACTGCGACTGCGACGCACTGCTTACAGTGGAAGTGGATTGTGTTACGGCGCTCAACGTGTTGCGCTGCTTCTCCTCCCACGCTCTCAATGAAGTTTCAAGCGCCTGAGATAGAAAATTTTTCGTATCAAGCGAATTAGAGCTACTCTCTTTTCCATTGAGGAAATAGATATTTACCCGGTTTCTATAAAGCATTTGCATACGATTCTTGTGTATAATCCTTATAATACCAGGTGGCTGAATCCAAGCCTCACCGTCGACCTGTATAGGGACACCCTCTTCTCCCAAGATATTAATCTGGACCGTCTGGCATTGGGCTATCCTGTGATGCTGCAGGTTGATGAGCCGCGACGCGGCCATTTGAACAGATCCGAAAACCGCCACTACCTCCAATATGCGATCGTCGAACGACGGCGCTAAGAATAGATCCCCTTCCTTCGTACCTCCCCAAAAGTTTGTACCGCCCATGAAGCTGCGGTAAACATTAGTTGCATTAGTTGAAAATGGAAAGAAAAATCTTGGATACATATGTTGACAAGTACCTCGGTATATTTAATACAACGATCCCTTGAAGCGAAGGTAATGGTATCCTCTGACCGTCGCACTCCAGCTGAACTCGCTGCTCGAGATTTTTGTAAGTCTTTTGTATCCACTGTTTCGATCCCAAGACCCCGTACCACATGTAGTTTTTGGCGCGCGATCGACATTTCTCAGGATGCTCCTCTCTCTTGTTGTGAAAGTCCAGACTGATCTTGGCGTCTATGCCGATACCGAAATAATTGTTCATGACGCACCGTTCAAAGTAACCTTCCCTAGGATAGAGAGAGAAGGGAAAAGGATTTGTGAAATGTGTACATACAAACTATACGCGTAAAAACAGCAGGCGAGCATATAATTACATCAATGTCTCATCTGGATCCATTAGCGGCGACACCGCTGCACAGAGAGCATCTGCGTTCGCCAGCAGCGCTTGACTGATGAGACCAGCTCCGCCACTTACATCTACATTTAGGAGAGACGTAACAATAATATACAAAATGCATACTTGGACATTATTCACTTACTTGGCCACATAGGCAGTCGAACCAGAGGATTTATTATAGGAAGTTTTTTCACGTCCTCCGTCTTATCCACAGATTTCGCTCTTTCGTGGCGCAAGCTCACGCTCGAGCCGCCTAGACGTGCGGTAGTTGCTGCCAGTGAGACAACTTCCGATGCCTTCAACAAACTGCCACTGCTTATACGCCGTGTAGCTTGCGGAGAGAAGCCCGAGTCAGGCAGCTCCACGCTTACTTTACGCATTATTATAGAAACATAGAGATTTGTACAATTGCCGGTGTAATACACCAATTCGATGGTTATAATTGGTTCAACTTACATCTTTCCATACTGTTGCCACTGCTGTATCGCTTGTACTCGTGCGGATCCAATTTATAATCTACATCAAGCCTGTGATGACTCTCAATTGACAACGACGGGCTTGGTGGATCAACGATCACGCTAATCTGCGGCGGGAAATTCGTCGAGCACTGCTCGTTGGCCTGCGCGTTGTCCGACGACGCAGAGACGGTGAAGCAGCATACCGGTCTCAGCAAATCGGACGGTTTTTCCTTTTCAATGGTTTCGTACGGCCTCGTCGCAAGTACTACATTCGTCTCCACGGATTGCATCGACTTGATCCCCGAGACACGTACGCACGTGGTCAAACCGTCCGTTTTATATTTACTCAACATTGCCTGGGAAAATCGAAAGGAGAAAACGGGCATTAATAATAACATATATACGTGTCGACGGTGTCGACGGTGAGAGAAACTGGAAAATGGAGAGAAATTGTCACCTCTTTGTCCGTCTTAATGTTTTTCGTGCTCCTCTTGAACGATTGTCTCCCGATATCGTTCCCTTCGCTGAACTGAGCTAACCCGCAATATCTATGCGACTCTTCGATCTCTAAACCTTCCCTAACAGAATCATACTTCTCACCCATTATCGCACTGATCACATCCTGTCCGAGGGAACTTAAATCCTCCAGGCCGCTCTCGGAATGTTGAGTCCCGCTGGAAAGCATATCGGAATTATCCGGCGAGTCAATGTGTCCGATCTCCGAGCTTTCCGATCTTTCCGATCTTTTCGTCGAGTCGAATATATCGCTGTCTATATGCCCTGAAAAGTGTGAGAGAGATTATCTAATAATTAGATGTGAAATTGCGACGCTTCTGCAATGCCTGTCGCATCGGTGGGTACTTACTTACCGATTTCGCTCTCGCTATTTCGCACGGTGTAACTCCTCGAGTCAAAAGTTTCGGAAACCATACTATCGGTACTGACGATGCTGTTGGTACAGCTACCCCGGGCCTCCAGTTTCGTTGCCGCGGGCTTTCGCGCGTGCTCCGGTGATATGTTTCTCGACTGAAGCGAATCCGTGTCAGGCGAAACGATGGTATTATCTTCTTGCATGGTCGCATCGTCCGACGGCGTACTCGCGTCTAAGACAGTCTTCGTCACGGTTATAGGAACGTCGGAGGGAGCTTCTATTTGCGTCGGTTCGGACGACAGGAAATTATCTTGTTGATGTTGAAGCGAACTGCCGGCAGACAGTGTCGCCGCGGCCGCGTCAAAAGTGAGAACTCTAAAATTAAACATTCGGTGTAACGTTGAGTAGTTGATTTAGAGTTTATATTTCATTAAACGTTACCCCTGTGCTATGTTTTCGCTGTTGCGTCTACTGTCGGCGAAACCGTCGGGTGCAGGAAGAGTGAGTAATTCTTCGGGCTGCGAGTCTCTCCGTAAGTCCGGCATCGGGCTCAAGGATGCCACGTTAGGAGTAGGACTCGGACAAGGTGAGATGCTGCCGCCGGATTCTATAGTCGGTATCAAGCTCGCGTTGTCGGTTTCATCCGACAAACCCGGGATATCCAATTGCTGCTTTTTACCTAAATTGGTATTTACACATACGTATATACATGTTATGCTCCGACTTTACCGTTGTAGAAATAAAGAACTCACTTGTCATAATACTTATTGGATCGGGTATTATAGCGATATTTGGCATCTTCCCGCCTTGCTTCTCCGCAGGATTGTTCTGCTCGTCCGCAGGATTGTTCTGCTCATCGACAGCTGTTTCCGTGTGTTCCACTAACCTCCTGATGGCTCTCTTCAAGCTGTTTGCTCTGCAATGTAATGCATCGTTGAAACATACATTGCTCTCTTGTCGCATTTCACGTAGTGCAACGTAGTACGAATATACTAGCTCTACCTAGACATGACAACGTCTTTCTCCAAGTAACATCTTCTTCTTTTAACTTTTTTTAAATTGGTCATTTCTTTCTCTGGCTTTTCTAAAGCACCTTTCTCCTGGATACTGCTAAAAGTTTCTAGAGTGCCAATGTCAATTTGTTCTGTATTATCGGATAAATAGCTTTCCTCTTTGGATAATGTTTGCAACAACAGGTCCAGTTTTTGTTCGAGTATTGTGCATTTTTCTCCCAATTGTTGGTCCCCTGTGTTTAGACTGGCTTCCAGTATATGTGTTGCAAAGTCTTTAACTGTTTCGCATAAGATTCTGTGGGATTTGAAGGTTCCTGGTGTAAAATTTCCAGTTTCATTGTACATAATATACGTGGCGCTACACGAGTACTCACTTGGCACTAGATATAACTACGCTCTCCTGATCAGACTGCAAAATGTTTGTTATATGAGCAAGAACGCTGTCTTCGTACTGATGAGCTATGCTCGATTTTACAGCCGGGTCGGGCTGAGTCACTTTGTGACATGGCAGAGATATGCTGCGTTCGAATGTCATAATACTCCATCGATCCAGCATCTTGGTACCCGCTTTTTCGTACTTCTCCAGTAGCTGAGGTAAATGCGTGTCATCGTCGCACGACGATCCCCAGCCTAACACGCGCGCCAAATCATTTCCCGTCCCCAAAGGTAATACTCCAACCTGACATTGCTTCTGCAAATAGGATAAATATACCTCTTTTCATGTCAAACGTTGTAATAGCTTTTAATGAGAGCTACATCGTACGTCGATCATGCATATGTACACTTACCGTCTGCAAAAAAAGTTAACGAAGCTTTGCGTATATAAAGAAGCCTAAAGCGCGCGCACACACACACACACACACCGGTTTCATCTGGAATAAAATCATAAAAGAGACACGCCATGCAGTTTATAATAGGAAACTTGAAAATGAATGTATCGGCACTTGGAAAGAGTAAAGCCCAATACGAGATAAAAGAGTTTTTCTTTCAAAGTTGCGATAAATTAAAGGAAATATCTGCAATATCCGTTCTGATTTATCTCTCTTTCCAAGATCAAGTATAAGAGAGGCAAAGTTTGAATATCTTGAAAAAATCCTCGCAGGAGAACTTGTTACAACTTGATTGATATTTCAAGAAGAAGTACTAAATCCAATCCAAGTTTTACATCCTTCTCAGAAGATTATAATTGAGAAAAGTTAATGAAACTGTAGTAAATTACAAATATCAATTTCAAGGATCAAGTCGACGATATTGAGAGGGTATTATTTCTCTTTGAAAGCTATTTTCCTAATAATTGTTATGTATTCTAAATCTCAAAATAAATGTACATTTACTTACCGCGACATTGGCACAATGAGAAATCGTACTACATATATGTATGTACATAAAAAGAAAATGCATATTAAAAGAATATGTTGCTCTATTCTCATGTATATCGCATTTAGATGACAATTGAAATATTCGTGCATTGTATAACGTTGAAAAGTAAAAGGCAAATTGCTACGAGTAGAAAAGAAATATGTTGAAAGAGCGCAGTAGAGAAATCATGCTGGAAGAGAAAAGGGAAAAGTTGAATAGAAACTCACGTGCATTCCAAGCCGGTCGATTTCCGAGAGGACCCATCCTACGGATCCGTCGCCACTGCACACTAAGATCCGGAATGGATCAAAGTGTCGGAACAGTCTTAATCTGAGCAAGAGAAATGATGAAGTAAGTGCTCCTTGTTAGACGTACGAATTATAGATTTGCTCACCCTGGACCTGGTCCTCCTTTTATAAGGTCGAACACTTGTGCGGGATTCAGTAATTGTTTAAATCTTCTAAGAAACTTGATACCTTGATTGTCACCAGATTTACTGTTTACAAATACTAAAAGTGGACTGCATCCCGTAGGTCTAACTGCTTCCCAAGCTTCGTCGCTACCTGATACAGTCGAATCGATTATTGTCGACGCACGAATGGTATCTAAGAGAGAGAGAGAGAGTAGATTACCTATACTATGCAAAGCTGTAGGAGGCACTACGCTGAGTTTAGCTGGTCCTAGCGGACACCTGACGCTTACGGCAGGTCTGCATGCTGTGTGCACAGTTACCTTGCACCATAAACACCGCCAATCTTGAAGCCTACGGACAGTATATGGACGGATAATGGATTTTTCGATCGCTCGTGTACTGGAATCGCTCGAATCTAACTACCTAAGTACAGAGCCACACGTCTTGTCGCAGACGAAGCATTTTGAGGACACTGGCAAATTTCCCTCCATCCACTGATGTGGCATTGTGATGTTCTACAAACGTAGGTAAAGGTGACATAAGTAGTCAATTATTGTTAATATAATAAAATGACGTGTATGCACACCCCATCTTGGTCCTCGATGATATCCTTTCCAATGGATGCTAAGGTGGTCCACTTGCAATTATTTATTGCTTTCGCGCTACATCTCTTGTGCACCTTGTATTTACAAGCTTCGCAACTGAAACCGTGGGAAGTAACACCTGCAATATATCGAATGGAATGTAAAACTGGGCGTAAAATAAAGCCAAGAGGTCGCTTACCATGCAGGGCATCTCTGCAGACGTTGCAATAGGTGGGTCTGGCGTGACTAGTTGCATACCACTGATGATTACCTCCCAGTAACTCGGCAGTTCCAGGATCACCCTGAGGACGATTCTCCGTCACTGTTCTCAGTGTGTTCAACCACTCCTCCATGTCTTCCACGCGACAGTGAACGAAAGACCTGACACAGAAGAAACTGTGTATTCTTCAACGATAATTAATATAAGCCAGCGGGACCTGATTCGGGCGACCTAATTAGAAAGAGCGTATGCCGCGTCGTGCCTAACCTTTGCGGCATACGTTGACACGTGCGAACCGGCGCCGGCACGCGACCATTGCCGCTCCTCTTCCTCTTGGTCTGGGCTGCAGCTCACGACTTTAGCGTCTTTAGCGTCGTTAGCGTCGTTATTACCCATGGCGCATGTCACGCCTCGTCACCGTCACCGTCGTATCGCTTATAAATAAGTATCCCGCGCGCGCGCGTGCATTGTTCGCTCGCCCTTGGCTCGCCGCGTGTCACGTCGCGTCACACCACGTGCGCCATTGTGTCACACCACCGGGCGAAAAAGCACGTCGATAAGCTCACATGGGCCGCGTTACGCGTTATTGACAGGTGGATCTATCTCCCCCGACGCGGTCAAGTTTGAAATGCCCCTCTTTTCTCAATTTTTTTACGAAAAAGATTCCGAGTATCTTGTTAATAAAACAATGAGCCATCGAGCGACTGAATCTTTCAGCAGGTGAGAGAGAGAGACGGTAAATCAAGCTCGTCTCTCGGATTATTGGACATTGGGGTAAATCGGCGGGAATTATTGACGACGCGTGGGCGGACACCAGCCGGTATTTGCCTTATTGTCGGGGCCACGTAGGTGTGTTGGACGCACCGAGACGCGTTGAATGTCAGGTGTGTCTACCCTTTTGTTCTGTCCGACGCAAGGTGATATCGAAATTCGAAGGCGACCGCGCGCGGCCTTTGAGCGACCATTCATCGCTGAAAAAGACTCGCTCGAGCGAACCAAATATCGATACGATCCACTCTCCGTAACGCTAATTTCATTCGGCCGGGAAATGATTTTCCTGTCGAGCGCTCGTGAAACACGCGTTTACTCTTTTTACTTTTATTAATCGTATCTCTTCCGCACAGGACCTGAGAATGCTCGAGATATTTAGGCACGCGCTCTCTCTCTCTTTCAACTAGGTCAGACACGACGCGGGTGCGCTCCACTTGATTCATTTAGAACACCTGGATATACGTGGAATTATACACCGAGATTATCGCTAAGAAAAATATTCGAGTTTCCAGAACCTTTCACGTGAATTATTCGGCAGCTTTCTTTCCGAAACTGTTCCCGTTTCGTCGAAATAGATTAGCATTTAAACGAGATGATAAATAAAGAGGTAGAGGAAGAGATGAAGCTTATCGTTCGGCTTCCATCGATATCTTAACGGTATTGGTTGAACGAAGAGAAGAAGAAGCCATCGCTCCTCGTTCCTCCCTATTGCGCGACAAAAAAATGGGCCATGTTCTCGGGATAGAGGGACTTTCCCAACCCTCTACGTATATATCGCGGCATACATATTTTATGAACAAACGTAGCCCCCGGCGACGGCTTAAGCCGTGAGGGGGAGAGAGGGACACGACGTCACGCAATTCCGGCGCGTGCGGGCGACGAGAAAACGAGGCCGGCCGCTCCGAAAGCTCTGAATTCTCAATATTGTGTTGCCTGCTTGTGCGCTGCTCGCCAACGCCGCCGTGACCTTCTGACCTGGAAATCCAGTCCATCCTGACGCGAGCTGCCGAATCCGCGAGGCCGTGGAAGGATCGATCATCCCTTAAATTACCGAGTGCCGACATTAAACGCGGAGATGTCACCGCGAGATCCCCGGCGATGAGATGGAATAGAAGCTCTCGAGTGAAAAACGACGTTGCAATATTTATCGCAAAAAGAGGTGAGATATTTATTCGATGGAAATGATACGATTTGGAACGATAACAACACGTCGCGGTCGGATCAAAATAGCAACCGGTTCGAGTTTACTGCGGAAAATGTATTTTCCTAGGGGAAAAATGTTGATAGGAAATATTACAAAGAAATAAAATGTCAAGCGTCTCTTACAAAGGCGGCAATGTTGAGATCCAATAAACTGAAAGGCAAGGTGCTTCAAGTAAGAGTGTTGATTGTAATCTAACGTGCCCTAAAACCATGGCACGCACTTAAATTAGCACCGACCCCATTTGTGGACTCATTACATTATTTTCTACATACGCCTCCGTCTATTTTTAGTAGCACGTAGCGCGTGCAATAAGCACCGGCGCGCCGGCTGGATCTAAGCACGGTCTTGTGCATAATGGAACGCGCATATTTGCCCGGGAGGATACCCGCGCGGCACGTGAAAGGTCCTTCCGCTCGCACGCGGATGTGGTCACATGGCTCCGCGCCGCGTTACAGCTAAATATACATGGAGCAATAATGCAACATATATGTATTTCCCTTTCCCTCCCTGACAATGCACAAACTGCAGGCCAACTTATTCGAGCAATTTGCAGCTGCACAACTATTAAAATAAATTAAGCTCTGATTGCCCGCGTAGCGCTTAGCGCCAATCACACTGGATTACAATACGGCAGATTGTTCCGCGAGCGGATGCCATGGTGCGACGCGAAACGCACTCATCATTCGATTACGGGCTATTCGAGCGGAGCGACCTATGAAAAGTTGACGTTGCCCACTACGCCGAAACTCACCCATTTTCAATCGACACACTTGACCTTTGCATCGCGTCCCGCCGAATGTGGGTCGCGGCTAAATTACGGGCCACGTTCACCCAATATCGCGTGTTACTTTGTTGAAATTTCCCTATTTCTGCATGCGGAGAAAACAAGTTGCTGGGAAAGTTTCCAAAGAGAATAACGACGTCGTTAAATTAAAACATTTATCGAGGCTGATATTCGGGCTTGCCCGAATAGGGTGGAGAATATCTTCTCGGACCAAATAGGGGCGAGGGCCCTTTTCATACCACGCGTTAGACATTTCTAGGGCTGCGACACAATCGCCTTGGTATTTCTGTAGGTTTATCAACGAGCATTTATCCCTTAATCCTTTCGTTAATCAATCTTTTACGGCGACTGCCGTCCAATTAACTTGACCGCGCAATGTCCATGAAAAACAAAATCTAGTCCGAGTATAATTATCGATAATCCCACCCGCTCTTTACTCCTCTTCACTAATCCGCTCTTTATAACGTACCTTTATAACGTAATCGTTCCAACTAATTGCAATCCGACGTTTACTCATTAGGGTAGCTTTAATCCTAGAGTAATCTATGTCGTAAACGGCCTGTGTTTAGCGACGCATAAATTATCTATTCTAATTTATTCAAGTAAACCAAGTAATCGTAGAGACCTCGCGGTGAAAATGACGGCGTAGAAGTATCCGGTTTCGTGTCCATTTTCTCGATTACATTGTCGTCGTCTGTCGGCCGAGCCGCGCGCGACAATGCACGTGTGCGACAATAGATCGCGTGGAATTATACGCGCGTCTCTCAAACAAGTGTTTGCGCAAGACCAACTTCTCGTCCCAGTTACGCGATATTATATTTTAACGGTAATTGCGTCGCGTTCGCAATAATCATGCTAAAAGTAAAGCGCAACGATGTAAAATTTACATTTCAATTCAAATTCAGTTCTCATCTAGTGATCTATTCCGGAATCGAGACAGCTTTCTTTCACGTTTTACGTCAAATCCTTAAAAACAAACTGACGTTTTACGCGAAATTAAATAGAATTTTCCGCAAACACAGTAGAGAGAGAGAGAGAGAGGCGCTCCGAATCTCTGACGTCAGTATACGACCATCAGCCCGGGAATGCCATTGTTGAGAAAATGCCATAACGCCAGGCGCTATCCGAGACGAATTGCCGATTACGCTTTGCGGCCGCACGCTCAAACGTGCGATAAACATTTATGCTTGCATTCGAGAGCATAGTGCTTTTCACAGCGCTATAAATAACGCGGCATGTAGGTGGTCCGTCACGTTGATGCACCGCGCACATAGTCCAGAAATGTCTATTTATTAATTTAAGACACACATCCCTTTATGCGCGCGTAAAAATATCCGGACGGCTAGATCTAGATCTGGTAAGAGAGAGAGTTTTATCTCGGCGACAATCGATGCGAATTTATGTGTGACAACTGACCGGATAAGTTGGCGCAAATTCAAGAGCAAGCTCGCGCGAAAGCACGATTTAAATAGCTCGTCGCATCGTTCTGGTCGGGGGATTTAATTGGACGGCCGAGTGGCACGAGGCTGACGGGTCGATATCGTAATTAAGAGTTTTCCCGAAATGGCATTCTCTAAACACAGAGAACGTCTAAATCAGTATACTCGTTAGCAATTCCTGGCTACAACGTGCGTACAATAAAGCCGCGTCGTAAATGTGGTTTACTTGCTACAAAGGGGTACTTTCTTCGTCGTATCGCTTCGCCCTTTCACCGTCGTCGGAGAAAGAAAAAACGTTACCCTTACATGCAACTCCGCCTAATTGCATTACGCGTATATGGAGACATTATATTCATCTCGATCGGCTCTCGTAACACGATAGCAGTACCTTTCGACTACCTCGTCCCGTCGAGTATCTCGAGTGTTTCAAACGAGACAAGGCAGGGGGAATTGTTGCGGGATGGCAATCTTTTTAAACTTGTATTACGACGGTAAAAATAGCCGAACCGTTCTCTCGGAGCTTTTATATAACACTCGTATCCATCTTGGTTGGTTCTACCTCGCGGAAGACGCGGATAGTATTTATATAGAGTCCAGCTCGATTGCGAACACGCGGAGAGATGGAAAAGCGAGTTCTAGTAGTCTAGTAGAGTCTAGTAGAGGAAGCGATCCCTCAACTGTTGTGTTCCGCATGATCCTACGGTCATCAATTGAAATTTTTGCTCCTTTCCATCGCGTAGCTCAAGAGCAACGTAACGATGAGAAATGACACATAAAAAGAAGCTGTTTTGACGCACCCACGGCGTAGCAATCTCGCTGGAATAACGCGGGGCTACGTGGGAGAACGAGCTATTCCCATGGAAAGCGACGTTAGCTCGAAGCTGTTGTCCTCGCCAACTTATCCACCCGGTAGGGCATTGGAAAATTTTACGAGAAATATCCTAGCGGCGGATAGCGTGACTCAACTTTGCTAATGAGCATTAAAATGGCCGGGGTGCTATCACGGATATTACCTGCTTGCACGCTTGCACGCTTGCACGCTTGCACGCGCCATTATTGCAATCCCTTATCGCGGCTGGACGCTCGTTAAAAATTTATCTTTACTCGCGCAACGCGAATACTCTAGCGCACACATACACGCTTTTTCTGAAACAGCCGGAAGTGTGCTAAATGCCAAGTCTTTCTTTCACAAGAGAACCGTCGAAGCAAAATGAAAATAAAAATTGAATTCAAGGGTGAAAAAAGTCACCTATCACTGGCGAAATTGAGTTAGAAAGCTATTTATATCCCAACATTCAAGTATATAGGAGCCGAACTTGTGTCACCATTTATAGGCAAATTCTAGGGCAAATTAGCGTCGAAATGTCCAAATTGTCGCGTAGAAAAAGAGATAGACACATGTTGAGATTCCGTTTCGGCGCAACTTGTTTCGCGAGTGTATTTAGGTCTCCCGCGGGTCATCGACCCTACATTGCGAGCTGCCGAGCTGCCGAGCTCCAAGCAACCACCCTTGTCCCGCTGAGAGAAGCAGAAAAGACGGGATCTCTGTTTACCTACACATCGTGCCGCTCGGAGCAAACTGTATAAATACGCCTCGCTACACAGGCCGATGCTGCCTCGCTACACAGCCAGACGCAACACTGGAAACCGAATCGATACGGAAAATGAATCTCGCCGCGGGTACACATCCGCACGCGCCGCTCCCTATGGCTCGATATTTCTTCCGCTTTGTATACATATACCCATTAAATTGCTATTTTCGCGCGAGTTCTCCTTTAGCTATCGTTTAGTATTACGTGCCACTATAAGACGAGATTAGACGACTCGGTGCCACGGAGCGTGACGTCGCTTTTTCTCTTTTCATTTTTGCAACACGTGCACCAGGAAAGACGTCATCGTGTCGCCCCTCTCCTGGGGCGCGTCCTCTTTGCAAGTCCTATAGGACTTGTAGCGACCGACAATGGAGGATCTCAAATCTCTTTCATTTTCTCGTCGCTTTATCGCTTCAATAGCGATGCGACATTGGAAGAGAGAAAACAATGTACGTTCCCTAAAGACTCTGCTAGCAAATCCAATTGCGATAATCGAAGGCCCGAAGGGAAATCCCTAACGCGAAACCGCGTCTCGCCTCGAATTTACGATCGAAAAGACGCGCGAAAGCGATATATATCGATATCGTCGCCGGTACGGATCCTCGCGGGAAGGAGACTCTCCGAACAATTTAGAAAGCAATTTTTGCCATTCGACGAGCAAACATAAGACGCGAGTCAATTTTTCTCTCGGAGAAAATGGTAACACTAAGCATTTTCTTGGCTTCAACTTGACCGATACCGATCGATGTCGAGAGAAATATTGTTACTGCCATGTGAAAAGCAAGTTGTAATATTTTGCCCGGCCCGGCCGCGAAAGACAAGGGTAATCTCGCTCTCGCCATTTTTACCAATCGTACCTCTCGATGATTGTGATAACATATATTGCTTCGTTTAGAAATCAAACACCGATTTACCGATTTTTCAACGTGCCGCCGCGGCGACGGATAATATTTAATAATGGACCGAAGTTACCGATTTCGCATCTGCTAATACGTTTTTCTACTGTCCTTGCTAAAGTATCAACGTAACAACTCCTTTGATGTGTACTCACGTGGAGCTCTCTCTCTCTCTCAGCGATGCGGGTGGTGACAGGCAATTCGGTCGCGACGAGGCCGGCCGGCCAGCCGGACGGACCGCCCGGCGGAACTGCTGCGCAACGCTCTTCTCCGAGCCTCTCCAAGTGGCAGCGCGCACACGGCCGCCTTTTCCACCTTCCATCCGGATATCAAAGCGTACGCTTTCGACTACTGCTGCTGACATCGCACGGCGATCGCGTCAAACAGATCCCTTTACCGACGGTCGCACCAAAAGGCACCTATTTCGCCTCGCGATTTGCCGTCGTTATCGCCGCTTAATTGCGACCTAATTAAATCGCGTTCGCGCTCGTTCGAGGCTCTATCCTTGCGTTGACATTCCGTACTTGCACTTTATTTCTCCAACCCTATCATACATAGATTAGATATAAACACTTTTCCCTGTATAATACAAAAATAATGATTTATATAAGATATTATGCATTCCTACAACGCCTTATAAGTAATATTTTATATAATGTATTCTCAATGTAAATGTCCATATGTTGTTACGCATAAAAATTAATAAATTGCTATTCCATCAACACTGGACGCGGTGCACTTCTAACGCATGTTTTTCAACTTACAAAATCTATTCTTCCGTTTCTACATATTTTTGCGGACATACGTCTAAAGTTGAGACCAATGCATACATTGTACATAATGCAATTTTGGCACATTTGTATATATATAAATATTTAAATATTATCTGACAAAGAATAACCCATAAATCTAGCACCATTATGTGTGTGTGTGTAACGTCATCATCCCTGAGATCATTAATGCGTTTTCTGACTGGATAAAAATTAACTTTGTAATACAAATATCGGTGGGCACATTATGCAAATTATAAAAGGCTTTGTCTTGTCCTTTTAATTATTTAGATGCTGGATTCATAGGAGTATTTAGCTGATGAATGATATCCCAGTACCTACATCTTAATAAATATAACAAAAATTTGGTACATATATACATAGTACAAATAAATAAATAGTGTAACCTAATTTTAGTACTTCAAATTAAATATATACAATTCTTTTCGTTATTTTACAAATTATAAACAAATTTTGTTATTGTATTATATGCATTGTAATATATGTACATAAATATTGAAATCTAGTTTTGTAGCAAATTAAATATTAACACCTTTTTCTTTTCATAAATTAAACAAATTTTTTACGATATGCAAACAAAATGTATTGATGCTAACATCTAACGGTAGCTTTAACTGAAATTACGCAATCAGCTTATGAATTAGCTTATCAATATCATCTTAACAATTCTACTCTAAACAATTTTAGTAATTTTAACTACATTCATTAAATCGCCGATACAGTTCATCAGAGTTTGATATCATCTGAAAGAATGAAATGCAAATAGCTATATTACGTTATTATTTTGACTAGTACCGTTTTATTAAATTTTAACAAAATTGAAATAATTTCTAATAAATAAATAGCTTTCGTGTCATGTCACGTAAAAGAAATTTATTTTGATGGCGTGTTACATCTCTTCAAAGAGATACTATTTTGTAAGTGGTGAAAGTAAAACCGATCACGTATCTTTTCTCAGTGACACTTTGAAAGCTATACTTTTCATATCGGCAACTATGGACAGAGGTGTTTGCCCTGCGTAATTCACGACACTTGCGACAGCGCCGGCCTTTAACAATACTTGTATCAACGACATATGCCCATTGTCAATTGCGTGGAACAAAGATGTACGCCCTGATTTCATATCCTTTAGGTCTACAGTTACGCCGGCCGATAAGAGTGCCTTGACCCCTTGCAAGTTACCATTTATACTGCAATAATGTATTGCTGCGTAACCTTGGGAGACAACAAACGACGTTAATGAGGCTATTTCGTGCGATCATTTCTACAAAACTTTGCACGTATGTAACAATCTTACCGTCCGAATCGATTTCATCGAGCAATCTCGAATCCGTGACCCGGCTAATAAGCATCGGCAACAACGGCGACGACTTTTTGCTAGCTATAATTACTGCCGATTCGTGTAAGGCCCTTCGCAACACCGGCTGTGCTCCGGCATTAAGTAAGAGCTTCACTATTTCGTTGGACACGTTATACTTGATCGCCAATTCCAAACTCGTCTGCGAAGCATGAAAAACATATTATGTATCGTCTCTTAAAATTAGATGTGCGAGATTAGATAAAGGAAATCAATTGTACGCTCTTACCTCCCCATCCTCGGTCAACATGTCGACACTTTCCTCACAGCGTTCAAGTATCATTAATTGTTTCCGAACGAGACAGACGTTGTCGTTTACGACGGCGTTATGTATGCTCAACATACCGTCTCGATCGTACCGTTTGACATTTTCAAAGTCTCTCTGTAGATGCTCCAGGAGGGCGCTACATCTCAGCGTTGTCTTCGATAGAGTCTCCTGCATCTTAAGGGCATCCGAATCCTCTTTCCAAAATTGTTCTATGAAACTGTCCAAGTCAAAAGAATTTTCGTATCCCACGACTTTATTAGAGTCTTGGGATACGGAATTATTACTAGATTGAGAATTATTCCCTAACGATAGATTTTGAGCCCCAGGCGTGTCGTAAAGAGTGATCGAATTTAGCCGGTGAATATCTTCCAAGTTCTTGTTTATCATTACGAAGGATTTGGGATCGAGTAGGCCGAATACTACCGTCTGCACTTGCGTGTCGTGCACAGTCTTGCAATTTTCCGGTGGACGTATCGGAACGTATCTCTCGAGTCCGACGCCGCAGTCGGTCAAAGCCGTCAACGCCAGCTGACGCAGCTTGCTGTCTGTCACGCTGTCCATAGCTTTTCTTATAATATCCAACTGATCCGACAGACCTTTCTTAGGCCCGTTCACAACGGTGTCTGTGCTTTGCCGTGGTTTTGTAATCCGCTTCGCGTCATCGTCCAAGATAACTCGAACCTTTTGAGTGGCTGCCTTTGCGTGCTTCCTTTGCACCATGTCATACTTTGCATTGCGATCAATGACGCTCGCCGTACTTTTAATACTCGCCGACGCCACTGGAGCATCATTTTCCTGCGCCAAAACTGCATTCTGATTAAACGGAAGGGTTTTATCATTAGGTATAATTGTCATAACATTTCGTGTCTTTACCTCCAGTACTTGACTCTTAGAAACTACGTCAGACTTAGCTTTAAGCGAATTATCTTTGTGATGCAAAACTTGACCGTTGAAGCTCACTCTACCGTTGTCGCGTAAGCCACTGCGATTTAAATTCTTATCGAACTGAGTATATCCCGGCACCAGACTCCCTGCGCTCTTCAGAGATGTAACTACCCTCCCATTTTCCGTGTTTCTTATAGTAGCGATACACTTTCCCCTACTTACTTTAAGGTTTTTCCCAGACAGCGACACAATATTACTTTCATCCCCAGGATTTGCCACGAGTCTCACGCAACTCGACGGTATCTTGAAAACTCTCTTAGGCAATAGCACTTTGGTAGCTGAAGGAACCTTCTTACTCTCAACTGCGGCAGCAGTGTCTTGAAGCTTTATGCCTCTACGAACGGCCGTAACACCTGTTCCACGATGTACTACGTACCTCGGATTGCTACTACCAACGCTTCGATACACACGACGTTTTGAATTTATCCCATCCGTTGGAGACGTGATAGCGGTATTAATATTACTACTATTATTACATGTCTGTTTTCCCGCCTTACCTTCCGTATCTCGATCGATCGAGAACACTCTACTCATTGGTAGGATCTCGCGTTGCCGCTGACGCGAGCCGTTGTCAGTCCAAGAAGGTCTCCCGTTGCAAGATACCTCTTCCATCAAGACACCCTTCGATAGCATGCTTTTCTGCTTGAGTATCCGCGGAAGTACTTTGATGTGCGAAATGGGAGCCAAGGGAAGTGCCAACGGCTTGGCAACGGGCTTTACATTGGACTTTGTAATAGTAATTGTATTCCCCTTCGACGGGTCGGTAGTTTTCAGCTTGACATTAAATTCCCCCAGATCCCTCCCGCGTGGAGACAGGAGTCGCAGCTTCTGCAGATTGTACAGAACTCTGTTTTCGGCGTTGGACGGCACTTGGACGCCGAAGGGACGCGCGAGACTCAACGCGGCAGGCTTGACAACGCTCATCGCGTCGGATAACTGCGACTGGGAATCCCATGCATATGCCGCCGGCCGTATTTTACTTTCGTTCGCCAAAGTGCATCTCCTCTTCGTCGGCGTGGACTCCAACGAGCTGTCCATTTACATGCGATTCTCGGCAAAACGTCGACATAAACTCTCCTGGCTTCGCGCCACTTCTTTCGAGCTCACGGTGAAATCCCCCTGAGATGTCGGACCTGCGTCGATTAAATGGTAGTGTTTAAAATGGAAACTATTTTCCCTCGGATAATAAAAATATATGCAAAATTCAACGAATTCGAGTGCGGAAATGACTTGCCGTGACCCCAGGTTGCGTACATATACGATATTAAAAGAAGCCAGGGATTACCGCTACTCCACGGGACATCCCTGGGCCATCCCCTTACATTACTTTACAAATCTTCCATGAGCGGTAATCGGTTTGGTGCAAGTTTCAGCGCGAGAGCAGCGCTTGGAAACAAGCATTTACCGAGTTGAACTGACTTTTCACGGGTAGCAACAACATTTCAGTAAATTACTACGGTATTTAGTAAATTACTCAGATTTACTAGTAAGTTACTAAAATTTTTGGTAAGTTTCTGAATGGCTTTGGTAATAAAATGCTGCTGTTACTTGCAGCCCATGAAAAGTCAGCTTTAAAGACCTGCGTTTAGAAGTGTCATATCTAGATATTCGTGTACGATGGTGATGGCAGGGCCATTTTGATGACTAGCGAAGTTTCATTGGATTGGTGGAAAGCTGCGTTTTAATTATATGTCTGTTCCTTGTAGCGAAACAGGTGTAGCCAGTTAAAAAAATAAAATTGAAATTGCAATTATCTGGATTATTTTTTCATTTATACCACCATCTTTTCCTATCCCATTCTCTATATATCTAATTAAAGTTCGATTTTTTTCGAACATAATTTTAGGCATTTTTGAAATCATGATTTCCGGAAATCTTTTAGAAAATTTGTGAAATTTTAATATTTTCTTGCCGGTTATGTTCCCTTTTTTCGCTTTTTCGGGAAATAATTCTCGGAAATTGAGGCTCTAGGAATTCTCGGAAGTATCGATTACATTCTTGGAATTTTAGATAGTGCCACCTCTTTGCTCATCATGTTCTCCTGATACTTTGCCATTTTCTCCATTCTCGATTTTCGCGATTTGAATTTGGAAATTCTCGGAAATCAAATTCGTGGAATTTTAGATAGTGCCACCTCTTTGCTGATCATGTTCTCCTGATACTCCTGATACTCCTGATACTTTTCGAGATTCCCAATTTTCGCGATTTGAATTTGGAAATTCTCGGAAATCCAATTCTTGGAAATTGTGAAAAATTCTTGGAATTTTAGATAGTGCCACCTCTTTGCTCATCATGTTCTCCTGATACTCCTGATACTTTTCGAGATTCCCAATTTTCGCGATTTTAAGTTTAAAATTCTCGGAATTTCCATTCTTGGAAATTTGGAAAAATTCTTAGAATTTTAGATAGTGCCACCTCTTTGTTGACCATGTTCTCCTGATACTTTGCCATTTTCTCGATTCTCGATTTTTGCGATTTGGAAATTCTCGGAAATCCAATTCTTGGAATTTTCGATAGTGTCACCTCTTTGCTCATCATGTTCTTTTGATACTTTGCTAGTTTTCGAGATTCCCAATTTTCGCGATTTGAAGTTTGAAAATGGAATTTTAGATAGTGTAACTTTTTGCCGAACATGTTCTCCTAATACTTTAACAGTTTCAAGAATTGCGATGACACAGATTTCAATTAAGAAATTATCTGTAATTTAATAAAAATAAAGTAAGTTAAAGGTAGTAAGGTTAGGTTAGGTAATGAGGATATGATTGGAATAGATCGATAAAACAAAACTCTGAATATTGCATTTTCAAAAACTTGATTTACTATAAATTTTTATTGTTACAATTACTAAAAATGCACTGTTTATTAGTTTTAGTAATTTATTGAAGCGCATTTGACACAAAAAAGAAACGCATGTTATGATTTTTATGAGAATTCCTATTTGCACAGTCATGATTCATACATAATTTACTAAATTACTAATCAATGAGTTGTCTTCATTTTAATTTTTATTATTTGTGTTTGAGATGCTTTTTATAAAAAATATTTCTTATTGCCAAAAGTAATGAGATTCTTTTAAATCGTATCCATATATTTATTTCTGGAGAAAGAATGTTTTTCGAATGCTAATTAGAGGCGAAAGACAAATTATAACGAGATAAAATGATATTTCTTCTTGTCTTCTCGATATCGACCAAAATGTATTCCAATAAAAATTATATATCTAGACACATAATAGATTCTACAAAGGAAATTTTTAAATAAAGCTCTTATACGTTTGAATTATCAGATACATCAACGCATTGCTAATTTATTCGAATAGCATCCTATATTTTCTGTACTTTTTGTATACATTCTGCAATATGTCGCAACAATAGAATTTTATCGCTATTATTAGCGCTCGTAATGAGACAATTTTATAATCGTAACATGATGGGTAGTGTTATACTATTGCAGTTTTGTATAAATATGGTTGTTCAGGAAACAATTGATGTCATTACTCAATATATTTTAAGAATCTTGGTGCATATTAATAAGATTCTTTCACATTTCGATCACATATCGCATATTTACAAATCTGAATCGTATCAGAGCGCAAAGATTTCGACTTATTATAATATATGTTACACAAAGTTACTAAGACTATGAGCAGTCACTTGTGCTATGCATGATTTTTACACGCTCGCACAAATATACTTAACGAGTTATAAATTTGGTATTTTAATGGGTGATTGATTTCTTCAAAATAATCGTAGACATCTGCAATGTATATTCACGCTTCTCGCGAGATATTCATCTCTAAATACTCTCATCTATTATCCATTCAATCGCGAATCGCATCAAAGATTCGCTTTGCGTGCAATATGGTGCTCAACTTTGATATTCCATTTACTATGCTCATTTCTCTTTATTTAGCGCTTGAATAAATTCTTCTAATTTCTCTTGGATTTGCCTAACCCGTTCTGAAAAAAAAAAGAAATGTTAATTAGGGGCGCAATCCAACAGCAATAAGATATTTAAGTATGTACTGTTCAATAATGATCATGCATTTTTCCTACTTTTATATTTGACGTATTTAAATTACACAATTTTGTAATAAATAAATTTAGTGATATAATAAAAATAAAATGTATTATTATATTATATTATATTATAAATATATTTCTAAATCAATTTCAGAGACTAACATTTTTATACATTATAAGAACAATTAGCGATATAGAGAAATACTGCAATACATACTGAGTTCTTCTGCTAATGTGACTCGTCTGCCCGTGAGTAACTTTTTTTTAATTTCGTTATCTTGACTATAATCCTCAAGGACCTCCTTGATTTCTTTGTCCAATCTCCGAGCTTCTCTATTCATGATTTGTTGCCTAAGCGCATTTGCGGTGACTTTCAGCATTTGTTGAATTCGCCAGAAGAGCACTACGTCGTTACATTCCATCTGAAAACATTCTGCCTATAAAAATGTCCGATTCCAACAGTCCTAAATTGTATAATTTTTTTTACATACTTCGTTTTCGTGCCCGGTGTGGTATAGATAATATCCTTTTCTGCAATCATACGCTCTCGCTAAACTTTGTTGCAGGAAAAATCTTCTGTATACAGGATGCCAAGTCTGACGAATGAATTCGTTATCGATTTCTAATCCGTTTCTTTGCAAGTTCTTCCTAACAGCTGTGAGTTCATCGTGCGTTAAAGTAGCTGCATGTTTCTGTAATCAAGAATACTGTAATCATGAAATAAACGCAATAAAACTTTATCATATAACTGCAACTATCTGTGTGCACATACCTTGTCGGCATAAAGAATTTTATCCAGCTCGTTTTTGACCGCCGTACGTTTCTGCTGTTCTTCGGTTTGGTTCTGCCAATATATCCACCGTTCCTTGCGATTAGGGCCTAACATATCGCGCAGGAGTTGTTCTGTACTCTGCAATTTGTCCTTAACCGAGGTCTCTAGGAAACGTACTGCCTGGTCCCACTCACGTTTGTCATTCACACTTCTATCCTCCAAAATGTTAAGTTGTATAACGCGTAGCATTTCGGAAGCCTAAAAGGAGAAATATACTTTTTGATATCACTAATTCATTAATATTACAACTTTTTATAAGAAAGAAAATGGAAATAAGCCGGAAAATTGTATTCACCTTCTCTTCCCACGAGTGACGTCTCATTGCCTCATTCACCACGGCGTTCTTGAGGCTGTCAAAAATATCGTCGTGATCCGAACTGAGCCGAGCCTGCGACATAAAATTCTGAAATTCCTGCTGCAAACATTCCCATCCACTTTCGACGCTCCGTGCAGGCAGTTGTTGTTCCGCCCAATGCCTGAGCTTAATGTCGACAGTGGTATTGAAAGTATCTGTAACAGAAGAACGTTAACTTTAGCAAACTTTTCATCTGTTCAACAAAGAGAAAACAATCTATCAATATAATACTGTACTTGGATTTCCGCTTTGAGCAGCAGGCAGATAAATATTTTCGAAAACGTGCATACTGACTTTGTCCCAGTTTCTACTCATCAGCACTTCCTCCCAATGTCTCGGTGATACCTGGGACAAATTGACTATTTCATCCAAAATTTCGCCCCGGGCCTTTTCGAAAAGCTCGTCCCTGTCCAGCTCTCTCAACCTAAATATGTAATAAAATAAGTTGGCGAAACCAAAATTGCACCTTTTAATCGTTTACCTCGGAAAATTGTTCTTCCATTCCGTCTCCAAATTGAATCTCGTGGCTTTGAACGCGTCCGCTTGTTGCTCTACCGTTTCACGAACCATTTTCCAAAAACATTCGGCTACCGCCAAGCTTAAGTTCTTGGTGGTCACTTGACCGGACATCGCTAAACCATCTCTGAATAATCAGTAGTTCATTAACAATCACATTTTATATTGTCGTATGCTTTCAAGTACGCTTTTATCTAGACTTACTTGAAGAGCTTAGAGTTTCTAAAGAACTTCTCCTCGTAATCCTTGATCGTTTGTATACCGTCATCCTGTTTGCCGCGACCAGTGACTACGGCGAAGTAGCCTAACGCCTTCATTGGAAACAGTTTACCAGACAATATTTTGCGCAGCCTCTCGGGATTAGTCAAATTCTCTTCCGCCATGTCAACCTATCGCGAGAGAACAGATTTCGCAGTGATATCTGCATTAATTAATTTTTTAAACAAAGAGAAAATGACATTTCATACTTTCGTCAAGACGAAGATCGTTCTTTTGCCCGATGGATCCATTTGAGCTACGAGATCGGTCACGTTGCTTCTCTCCGCATCGACAGAGCCGTCTTGTATGCAAAGAATAATCGCGTTGGGATTACTCATGTATTGCTGGCTCATTTGTTTGATTGCCTCGCGAGTGTCTTCCGCCATATCAACGGTTACCGTCTGCCTCGGGAACCAAAATTCGTAATTTTGTAAGCGAAATTTTCTTGAATATTTTTAATATAAGAGCATTTTATATACGTACGCTAATAATGCCAGGTAGATCGACTAGAACTATACGTTGAAGGCCCGGTCCCTTCACCGTCATAGAAATGACATCCGGGCTGACTGTCTTTCCACTCTTAACGCTATTCTTCATTCGCAGTTCTACCTCCCGCCTGAGCTCGGCCATCTCCGACTCTTTCGTGAGATCGAATTCCCTGGAGCTATCTTTGAATTGTGCAACGTGGTAGGGACCTTCGCTCAATGTGACTTTAACTGGCGCCCTCGTCATCATTTCACCTCCACCTCTATAGAGCCAAAATAATGTGACGAATATTATCAGTATTCTTTGTGATCGAATAAAATCAAACGGAGAAACAAGTACCTTGGAAATATCCTTGCTTGAGCGATCATTTCAAGCACGGATGTTTTACCAGAGCTTTGGTCACCGACAACTACTACTCTAGGTAAATGATCAGCAGTGGAATAGGCACTATCGTAGTCATTAAGCTCGTCCAAGACATCGCTGTACATATCAATTAATGACTTCTGTAAACGTAAGAGGAACGTGAAGTACAAGTGAAACAAGATACATATGTTAACGCAATATTGTATATGCAAGTTACTTTAATCTTTTTGTTGTTAAACTTCTGATTCCCTCGTAAAAGTATCTGCTTGCGCAGTTCTTTGTTCTCCCTTTCCAGCCTCTCTATTTCGCGTTGATACTTGAGCTGTATCTGCATCAGCTCGTCCTGCATGGCGTTCATCCTCTCTTGCGAAGAATCTTCAGTGGGAGAAAAAGAAGACATTGTGAGAGAATGTCGAATAATTTTCGATCGTCAAGAGAAATTGTGAAATTAATGATATGTACGTACGAGCTTTCTTACGTTCCTCTTCAGTAGTATCACTAGCCAATGGACGTGCAAAGGCAACCACATTTTTCGACAACTGCTCTTTTGTTTCTGCTTAAAAATAAGACAGTACGTATTTTTAATTTGTAACAATTTGTAATTCGTTCCGCAAATGCAAGAAAGCTGGTATCAACTGACATGAAACAATTAACAGGGCCATTTTACGTGCATAAGTAGTTTTGTGTATGATAAAGTTAAAAAAAAAAGGAACGTGTTACTTTGTACATGCAAGCTAATGCGATAAAATAAAAGCAGCGAATAATGGCTCTGTCCCATTCAGTATTTAAAATGTGTGTCCATTGTTATAATAGATCCTATATAAAATACAATTTGTTTGCCAACAAAAAAGTGTAGCATAAATTAATTTCAATTTCCACGAGATCATTTGTCTATAAAATGCTGAATGGACAGAAGACGGGTAAGATAAGTTCAAAGTCTCTTTACACACCTGAATAAGTTTGTTTTGCTACCATTGAGATGGTATCAAATGCACCTGAACAGAACAGACCACGATAAATTAACAAAATGCATGTGAAACAGTGTTTTACAGTAATAAATTACATATCATTAAATTCGCATTTTACAACAACGTAAATAAATGTCCTTTCGAGAACATAAGTCTTCCAATCAAATTTTACAGATAATGGACAAAAAAATGTACGGACGCTGACACAAAATGCTTTATCATGCACGTTTTTACATACAAGTAATAAATTGAAATACGTGTTGTAGTTGAACAAATCACAGCACAGGAACTGGAAAGGATTATTAGCAGGTAGGAAAATGTCAGGCAAATATGGAGGAATGTGTAATAACAAACGAGTGAATGGACAAGGTGGAATACTTGGTAAATAATTATAGGTTGTTAATGCAATGTACAAGTAGATAACGAGGAACGGAGAAAGACTTGCCAATAGACTCACTCTGTATCGAGCTATTCTCTTGGTAGCTATTTCGACGACTTTCTGCTGCCTTAATAGCGTCATCCAGTCTCTGATCAAACAAGGTCCTGTACTCTTGATACTTAGCTACCCCAAACTCCTTTATACGTGGATCTGTTTGCATATTTCCCAGTTTTTTTTTTCGTTCAATCGCAAATCGCGCTTCGTTTTGCCTAACATTTTCATAAATTCCAACGGTTACCTAGTCGTCCTGCTTACCGATCTCGATCTTGTCGACCACGTTGCTCTTGATCGCCATGAGTGACTCGCGGAGATCTTGCCATCGCTTCTCGCTCGGCATCAGATTCTCTAACCATTCCAAATCCGGCAAGCCCTCCTTCCACTGTTCGTATTTCTACAAGTAGGCGGTTTTGTGATTTTACTAATAACCCCGGCGAGAAATGACTCGTCCAATCGACATCGTTTCGACGAATCATTTCTCACTGGGAACTTAGCAAGTACAATGGCATTTCGATGTTCCTCAAAGTGTAATTGACAGAAGCACAGGGAGGCAGTGAACAGAGGGGGAACGCAAGGCTCCGTTACGAGAATAATGAATTGCATTCGGTTCAATCGAATCATTTTGCGACAACATTTACCCGCTGCAAGGTAACGCCACCACCGACTGCACCTCCCAAGAGAATGTATCGAATTTTTAACGCTCCCCTCAATATTCTTGTTATCAGCATCGTGTATCCACGATGCGGATTTGCGAAGTATCGTAGTTGCGGCGACGCCAGCAGCGGCCTGCAGTGCCTGCTGTATTTCCCGGACATCAGCTTTCGCGCGGTAACGGCCGTTATTGGCTGCCTGGAGGTTTTGGCGACTAGTAAAATGCCGTGGCTGAAAGAAACGCACGTTGATTAGAAGAAAGCGGAGTCATAAATTATTCTCTAAAGTGTAAATATATCTTAACTGTGACAATAAAGAAAAAGCGCGTTTCTTTCACACGTGAATTCTAACGATAGTGAAGTATTACGAGATAACCTATCGGAGCGAGGAGACACTTCGTTACGGGAGTATGAATTACATTCTGTTCAGTCCAACGATTTTGCGCGACGCGCGGAGAATGGTACGTCGTTTCGCTCGATTTCAAAATTATAATCATGCCTATCTCACCCGAATTTTCCGCATATGATTTGCTCCATTTTATCGGAGCGATCGTTGCACGTCGTCGGCGAGTAACGGCGTTCACTGTAGGCGGCAGGTATTTACCAAGTTTCACGTTCATACGTTACGAGGTGACGGGTGACGTAAGTCAAGAAATCAAAGGTGTAAAACGTTCTCGGGAAGCCGACGAACCGGGCATCACATGCATTCCGATTCATCCACTTGTTCGGAAACGTTGCGCCCATGCTTGCCGCAAGATTGTCCCTCGTCATTTGTGTGCCAAGACGCAGCGAAAAAATCCCTAGGCTGTCCGACTTCATAGCGAGCAGTTTCCTACGTATTGATTTTCAACTGTGATTGGTCAATTTCTTAAGGCCTGTTTTCACTTGGACCAAGTTCTAACATCGTGGACACAGGCCTTAACACATGTCTTCGATCTGTATCACTTGAAACTCTATGCAAATTATCTTCATGAACGAAAATATTGTATATCGAAGTTATAACATGCACTTAAATGTATCTCTTTCTTTCTTAATTAAATAGAAAGACGAAATTGTCGAATAATTTTATTTTCTTTGCAATCCTTATATTACAAAACATACTTTTCCAGACGCATTGAAAATATGCTTTATTTACATTGGGTCGTCGTCTAGTTTTGTGCTAAAGTTTTCTTCTTTAATCTTTACAGAAATAATATTAATTACTATTTCGCATAGGCTTTCGTATTATATATGTATATATATATAATTATATTGTATAATTATATATATATGACATTATATATCATATTACATATATAATTATATATATATATATTATGATATACATATATGATTATGGCAGTACATTTACATTTAAAGTCTATAACCGTTTGTGTTTTTTTCCTGTCACTTGCTTATAACATATACAACATTTTCTCGTAATATATGAAAATCTACATACTTATGTCCTACGTGCACGAGGCGAGTACGAAAAGGAAAAAAAAGTAATGTTCGCGTTTCATCAATAAAGCATCCGTTTTCTCCACGAACACGCGTGGCTTCACGGTTGGCCGCGCGCACGCAAGCTTTGAGATCTAGAAAATTCGTAAAAATAATGTGCAAAAGGTTCAAGAAAGATTCGCCTCTTCCGTTCGCCCGTAGCGAGCACTCGAGCTCCTCGAACGCGATATTTCTTGTCCCGAACATTTTACCCGGAAGATTCTTTCTCTTCTTACCTCATTCATTGCGATATGTAAGAATACGTACGAACATGTAAGAATATGCAAGAATACGAAGAAATATGGTTTACGAATCACGAAAAAAGCTGGTAGAAGCGCTAAAACTCGATTGGACCCGGTTTTACGTTGTCCTTTCCTAAATAAGCGACTGTGACTGGTTTCCCCCCGTTTCTTCACCTCACTCGGTTCTCTCTCTTTCTCTCGTGGGAGACCCCTCCTACGTACAACTAAACGTTACAAATGTTCTAGTATTGTCTAAAAGTGCTTTCTTCACTTTCCGCTACTTCTCTCACTTTCAGTCTATATCTTCCGGTATTTATAAGAGCGCGAATTTATATTTATACATATATGTTTCTTAGATCGCAACAGGGGAGGATGCCTCTGCTAATCGCTAATCTATAACGCCAAGCAACTATGTACATTTTATATCTTTCCTTCCTCAGTCTCGAATCACGTCCACTCGATCAATACACTCGCTAAGAAACACGAAGCGGGAAAAGAAGAATAATGATCGAACACAAATACTTTTCTGATCGGAGATCACACTTGTCCACTGTTTTCTATCTACCTAACACGAATCTGCCACGCATGATCGCGAAGAAATCATCGCGAGAGATACAGAACGTAATAAATTCTCATTAAGGAGAAACGTAGAGATGGATTTTGCCGGTCTCCACTTTCTCGTCGATTCACATTCACAATTTACATATAGAATAACGTAGTCGTCGCGTCTATCGCGCTCGTTTAATCGTGAAACACGTATCAAGAGGTGCTGTTCCGATGCTTTTTGCTCTTCGCTTTGCCGGGCTCGAACTCGTCCTCGCTCCTACGTCGCTTCTCCTTCAGCTGCTTCTCCATTGCCAGCATCGTAATCATCCGCTTGTGAGAGTCGCCCACTATCCATCCGTGCTGCTCCTGCCGATCGTCCTCCTCCTCGGGTGCCGGGATCGGTTCCGGCGCCTCCTCCTCGTCGCTCGAACTGGACCAGTAGTATAATTGCTGGGCAGCGCTGCGTTTCCGGCGGCCGATCGCAACCCCGACGCCTTCCTCGACCTTGTTCCACGACTTGGTGGTCTTTAACTCCTCGTCGTCGGAGTCGCGCTTTCCGCTGGACGACCTGCGCTCCTTAGAGTCCTTGTTGCCCGCGCACGTCTTTTTGGATTTCTCCGCAGTCGCGGTTGGCTCCTTGCTCTTCTTGCTCGTCGGTATCTTTCCGTTCTCGGATTTGGAAACTTTCTTCAACTTCGCTGGCGATCTCGAGAGTTTCCTTCGTTTTGGCGACGGATGGCCGTTGTTCTCCGTGCTACTCTCCACAGTAGAGAAGGCACGGTCCGATCTGTTATGATTGTCCTCTGAGCCGTCGTGAGAAGACGGACTCATGTACATTGCGTTTTCTGCGGTATTCTCGTCGCTACTTTTTTTATGCTTATCCTGCTTCGTCTGGTGTTTCTTTTTCTGCCCGGAAACTGTCGTCTCTGCGACATTGGTATTCGATGCGGCATCGTCCACGTTTTGTGCGAGGATCTCTTTCCTCTTGCCGACCTCTCGCAGAATCTCCTCTTCAATCGCTTTCTGCTCCTTGGCAATCATCTGTTCGTGCTTCTTTTCGAGATACCTTTCTTTTCTTTTTTCCTTGGACTCTCTCTTCTTACGCGATTTGTCGTGATCGCCTTTCCTGCTGTTGTCTCTCACATACATTGTCTCCTCGTCAGAGCTGCTTATCTCCGCCAGCAGACCTTGCTTGCCCACCGCGCACTTTCTCTGTCTCCTGGTCGGCTGAAAGTCCAAGAGTATCCTCTCTTGCTCCTCTCGTAGCTTGTCCAACTGTTGTTGCTTCCTTTTTTTCGATTCCTGCACCTTTCTGCTGAGGAACACGTGAAGAGGAAGATTGTGGTCGGATTCTTTCTGCGGTTTCTCGTTGCTGGACAGTTTCTCGGGCAATGCTGGGACATCGTCATCTGCTTCTTCCTTTTCATCTCGCATCTCTATAGGAGATATCGGACATTTATTCTCCGTTTCTTCATTAACAATTTCATCGTTAGAAGCCTCGTCCATGGTACCGTTTACAATATCATTTTCTGCACGTACATTCTCAGCCTTTGACTCGAGATTCTCATGTTGATCCAGGAGATCTAAAGCTTCTTCCAAGGAAATCAGTTCATTCTCTGGCGTACAATCGTCTTTCGCGTTCGTAGAAGCAAGTTTCGTCTGCAAAGTCGCATTTTCATCCGACGCTTGCGTTCCAGCTCTGTTCTTCGCCTCCTCGGTGGTCGGCTCTTCGTTCTCCTCGGCCTCTGTATCTGCGTCCGAACTGTCTTCTCTATATAAATCGTCCAGCTCAAATGTTCTCTCGTATTGATTATCCGCGTCGTCGTCGCTGTTCCTCGCCTCGTCAGTTATCTTCCTCTCGTCGATCACCAGCGAACGATCCGATAATTCTGACTCAGATTTCGCAGCGTCGTGATCGTTCTTTATAGCATCTTCCTGTACCGCTTGATTCCAGTTGCTCGCAACTTGATTCTCGTTGTCGAATTCAGATTCGTTAACCGTGCGTTGTTGATCATCCGTCTCGTCGACGTCGACGTCGAACAGTTTCTTCAGACCCTTTCGCGATTTTAACGAAGCTCGTTGCTCGTTCGCGATTGCACAATCGACGTCGTCCCGCTCGTACTCGCTCTCGGACGACGTCGACAGCTCCGCGAAGAGATTCTGCTTGCCCTTCGAGCACGAGCGTTGACTCTTCGAAATGCCGACGCCGACGTCCTCCGTCTTCGCGGCCGTTCTGAATTCGTCCGAGCTGTCGTTCTCGTACCACGCGTTTCTTACTCGCTTCTTCAAGCTTTTACCTCGTTTCTTGATCTTGCCGGATTGCTTGACGGTATGCTCTATGGGCCGTTTCATGCGTTGCTGCTTCCTTTCTACGAACTCGTCCATTGGTCCGGTAATCGGCTCGGCAAACCGTTGCTGCTGCTCCTCGCTCTGGAACAATTTCAGAGCGCCCTTCGTCTTTGGCGCAAACTTCTCTAGCTCTTGGAATTTACGGTTAATCATAGCGTTCAATTTCGTGTCCGTGACGTAATTCGTCTTGCCGTTCTCCAAGACGGCGTCCAAGTCCCCGTCGATATTTTTCATCTTCGACCAGTTGGTCTCGAAACTCTTGTCCACTTGACTCCTGTAGGACATGACGCTACCTAGAGTGGGCGCCATCTGACTCTCCTCCTCGTCAAATTCGTACACGTCCTTTATCCTCTCCGACTCCACTTTCCGATCGAGGGAATCGCGGCGTTTCTTCTTCTCTGTTAGGCCGCCACAGTGCTCGCTCCTACGGATCAACGGGAACTCCGGTCGCTGTTGTTTCTTGTTCTTCTTCGACTTGCGTTGCTTTTGCACGTTAAATTCAGCGAGCGCAGCCTTTCTGTCGTTTATCTCCTTCTTGCGCTCGAACAACTCCTTAATCGGGTTCCTCGTCTTCTTCGTCAACGAGTCCTTCGTCGGTTTCTTTGGGGAAATCGGGGTGTCCTTGGCCGCCACCGCCGCCGCCGCTGCAGCTGCGGCCGCCGCTGCAACAGCCGCCGCGACCATTTTCACCGATTGATGATTCCTGCTGCTGTTCGTGGTGTTCTCCGGCGATGTGGAGGTCGGAGCTCGGGCGCAGGCCAATTCCGCCAGCAGTTTCATCGGAGCGGAACCGCTGCGGGATGAGAAATTGGTTTATAACAGCTTTATTAAATGAGATTGTTCATACATCGATAAACGATAGCGAGATTCGTTATTAAGCCCACGCGTAATCGTGTGGTTAATTGCATAGAAAATATGGTCGCGTAGATGATTGTAATCATCTATTAAAAGCTACTGCATTCTTGGTGGCTTGTTATACAAGTTTTAATTGCGTTAACGGTAATAAAGGAAACAAGCGAGACATTATATTTTAACGGTATTTTTCAGTGAAGGGTATATCGATGAATAAAATATCAAGATAAAGAATATGTTTGTAAAGGGTTTAACAGAGTAATTAGATTTAATAATGAACGTTCATTGTTGTTTGGGCCATTACCGCAGGGAATAAAGTCAAATTACAGCAAACAAAGAACATTTTATATCGTTATTGTATACAGTCGTGATAATATTTCATATAAAATTATTTAACTCTCACTGCACGAAACAAAGGATGTGATCGAAGATTTAAAAAAATAGTCTTTGAACTCCAGTAAATTTGCGTTTTTAGGCGGAGTCGATACAAACTGAGGAATCTAAATTAAAATTGATACGATTGTGGAAACATCCCTTCATTTCATTTCCGGAAGTCACAGGGGGAGATGCGCGTGTTCTCTTTCTTCAAGTAAAAAATTCCATGGGAAAGCATGTTTGTTAGTAAATAATTTAGCAGGCTAATGAACGTGGGGTACGATGGTGCCTTTCTACATGCTGTATATTAAATTCCATGTAGCGCGAGGCGCTACACGTATCGGCGCGGACTGTTGCGGGAGAGATCGTTCATCGTGTACGGAGTGGAATGACGAAAGCGGATCAATACGCAACGCGAACGAATGGGCATCGTTCGACCGTGGTCTCTCCGACCATTCTTAGTTGAAAATCGAGCATCAACACGCCCGGATAATTCCAGCCCGAGTGGAGAAGGCGGAGGGCGCCAACAAACGTTCGCCGGGATATTTCGGACTGCGTGCGTTTTACGTAACGCGTCGTTCGACGCAACTCGATTTGATCCCTGCGGGAAGACAATTACGCAACACAGTCGGGTCACGGGATTATTTTTTTTTCAGGGGAAAAACCCGACCGTCCTTTCGTACGCGCCGATCATACGCTACGTCTAGTTTAGCGTAATCGAAGAATCGGGCGAAAACAAAACGTACGGCCGCGCGGGCAGATAAACGAGCGATCAACAGGTGTTGAACCGATGCGAAACTGAAAAATGCGCTTTGATACGCGAGCCATCCTGCAAAATATAGCGAGATATTTTTAATCACCTAGCTCGGCGTTTCGTCCACAAATGCATCCTATTAATCTCGAATGTCTTTCTGCGTTTTTGTATCAAAACAGGATTTTAGAGAAACGTCAAATTAAAAATGTTTTAGCGTTTGTATCATACAAATAGACTGACAAGCTGGGTATCCTATGAATACATATGTTAGGAGAGAACAAGTGCATACCTAGCTGGTCACGAAAATTTTGCGAGTTTATTCACAAAGTGCTTATGAAACACTAGCTTATGAATTTGAAGAATCTTCGTCTTCCTCGAGCTCGAAAGCTCATTAAACTTATCAAACTTATCTACATCCAACTGGAAAACTCATTACTGTAATATATAATACCTCTCATACTAATAGAATCATAATTTGTTCTCTCAAAACTTATACGATTACGATGACAATATTATGTATAGTGCAGATTTAACACATGAATTTCCTTATCGAAATACTCACTTATGATCATGCTTGCCGTTGCTGTGCAACAAGTTGGACAGCGCCTTATGTAGACCACCCAAAGTCGAGTTCATCTTGTTCTTGTGCCCCGGCGAGGACTCCTGATCTCTATTCGATGCGGCCGACGCAGATAGCTGTTCGTGTTCGTGAATACTCGAGGAGTACGAGTTGCCAACGCTGTCCCGCTTGTCATCGTCAGGATGATCGTTGTCGTTGAGCTTCTGGCCGAATGTGCTGGCTATCAGATTCTCGCTCTCCCTCATGCGCTGCTGGATCTTATCGCGCAGTTTGTTATTGTGCTCGAAAGCCACGTCCAAACTGTCCTCATAGCCGAGATTGTCGACTCGCGACGCATCCGGGCTGGCCGATCTGCTCGAACGTTCGCTACCACGTGTTCGATAGCTTCTGTCGTGGCTGTTGTACATCTCCTCGCCGAGCAACTAGAATTTTCAAGCAATATACACCTTAACATAGTGTGTATAAATCTTTTATAAGTCTGTCTTTAAAACAGATCAATAAAAAGTTTTTGACCGAACGATCTATAATATATTAAATATGTTCACGTTTTAGCCAATTTTAGCAAACAATGTTTAAAACTTATAACTCTATTTATCCTAAAGTTAATTCTTTCGCTGATTAATCAAGCTTTTTTATAATAAGAGATTTCACTTAATCTATTAAATAAGTACATTGTCACAATTTTAAACATTTAAATGGTTTCGTGATTTACTATTGATTAATCGCTAAAAGATTCATATTTATTTAATTACCATACATAAACAGCTCGGATTAAACGGATAATAACACATTTGTTTTGTATGCGGGATAATTGACTCATTAATATAATATATAATTAATGATTCATTAATTATATATACCGCAAAATTATTCCAGCATAAAAATTTCTAATATAATAATACTCACTTGATTCACTGATTCCAGAAGACTACCGAGACTATTTTGGCTCTCCACGTCCCTCCATCGGTCTCTGTTAACCCTGAATCCCTGCGGTTGATCGTCCCGTCTGTGATACGATTCGGTGTGATCCAGCTTAATCTTCTTCGCGCCTCTCAACTCGTTCTCGCTGGTGGCCTTCAATCTCGAGCAACACTCCACGAAAAGCTCCTCGTCGAAGTTGAGGATCTTGCCCTGCCGCGACTCCATCGTCGACTCGATCTCTCTCGGCACATCCAACGCGTTGTCCTCGATCGCGTCCGTGGGCGCGATCGTCACCACATCCGATCTGTGACCCGACGACGGCGATCTAATAATGATCTTCTCCCCGGAAAATTCGTTAGGGTTCGTCTTCCTAGAATTATCCTCGTGCGTTAGACGCTCTTCGTCTTCTTCTTCCTCTTCTTCATCCTCTTCCTCATTGGAGCTGTTTTCTATCGAGCTATCGGGAGTCTCGCGAGCATAGAACGGTGACAGTCTTTGTCGTCCGAGATCATTGTCACTCTCTTCCACCTCCTCCTCTTCCTCCTCGTCGTTGTCATTGTCGTCGGACTTTCGATTCGTCTGAGAATTGCCATCGAGATCCGCCAATTGATTCTTCATTATTGATCCCTCGGCCGCTAAAGTGCTGCAACTATGCGACGACGGCGCCGACTCCTCGTCCTTTCGTCTAACTTTTTTCTCGGCCGGCTGATCATCCTCCTGATCGAATTCTAAATTTCTCGCTGAATGTTTCCAGTCCTCGTTGACGATCCATTTCTTGTTCTTCTTGGAACTCGTTGATCGGTCTAAATGTGCTAGTAAATTACCTTGATCTTTATTCACGTGTTTCGAAACAACCGAGTCACCGTAGACGAAAGACTCATAAGCGTTATCCCTGATTAAAGTTTTTGTTCGATTCCTCGATTCGCTTGTAGATCGCATAGTTTGATCGTCTTGCGTTTCGTTCTTTGTTTCCCGATCTCTCGAAGGAATAGATCGAGTATCTTCAGAATCTCTTGAGAGCTTCTTGTTCGTTTTCGCTTTGCTTATTTTAATCACGTTGGAATCCGGTCTCTTGCAATTGTTCGAGTCCTTTCTGGATCTCCCGCGTCCACTGTACACCCCACTCTGTTGCTGATCTATCAAACTGACGTTTTTCCAAGCGTCGTCGTCCTTTTGTTTAACACTCTTCGAATTATCCGAACGATTCAGGTTTTTAGGTTCGTAAAACTCGCTCTCCTGCTCGTTAGAAATCCCGCATGCCTCATCGAAATCTTGATCGTCGGACAGGAACGACAAGGTCTCGTTGTCAAAGGCTCTCCAGATCTTCTCGCCGGCTCTGGTCTTGCTCTCCCTCCGTCTGCACTTGAACATATTGAGCTGCGATGGCGAGGAAGAACGCTCTTTAACATCCTGCTTTTTACGATGGCTGGAGCTATTTTTCGACTTTCCATGAGCGTTGTGATCGTCTCGAAGAGTCTCCCAGTTTTCGGAGATCAAATTCTTATCCTTAGTCCGCTCCTTATTCAATTCCTTTTCATGATGTCTCTTCGTTTCCTTGTCGTTCAGTTCATTGTTAATCTCCTCACTCGTTCCCTTAATCTTGTCATCCTCGTCCATAACAGTCGGCGACTCGTCATCGAAGGTTCTCAGAATCTTCTCGTCCGCTCTGATCTTGCTCTCTCTATGTTTTCGCTTGGTTGGATTGACGGGCGACTTGATACGATCCTCGGGCATTGATTTGACATCCTTCTCTCGCTTCCTCTTATTCTTCGCTTTCCCATGAGCCTCACCGCTGCACTTATCGTTACCTTTCTTTCTGGGCGATCGTTCGCTATCCTTCTTCGTTTCGATGCTAGGATGACACTTCTTTTCCTTCTTGTGTCCGTTCTCGGGGAACTTTGTCGGTCCGCGCAGATAGGATCTCGCTTCCGAGGCACTCCTAGACATGTCCGAGTCGTCTTCCGACCGTGATACCCAGTCATTCAGCACTTCCTTCACCTTATCCACTTTCTCGCCGCCGAACACTCGGCCGAACACGCTCTTCACGATCTTGCTCTTGCTCGAAGCAACAGATTCGATTCTGTCATCCTCGTTCTCGCTGTCACTCAACAGTTCAGTGACTTTGGCCTTTTTCTTTTTGCCTTTGGATGTTTTCGGTCTTTTGCGATCAGTTTCCCTTTCCTTGCTCGTCGACTTTCTGGACAATTTCTTGTTAGATTCCAGCCGAGTCGCTTTTTCGTCGCAAACGATCGTCGCTGGATCATTCTCTAAATCATCTGTCATCTTCTGAGGTTCGTGGAAACTCTCGTTGGGAAGAGATTTATCGTCACTGACTAAAGTTTCGTCCTCGCTCTCTTCCGAGCCTGACGAAAGCTTTGCTTCGGGAACTTGTTCTTCGAGGAATTGCTCTTCTGATTTTGCTTGTTTCTCTTCCGAGACGGGTGTTAATTTCTGAACCATGAAGCTCTCATCGGTGTCGACTGCTTTCGATTCAATTGGCTTCAAATTATCGATCGGTACTTGTTTGGCAATTTGCGGAGACAGCTCGGTTGAAGACTCGGTCGTTAGATTCGTTAAAATATTCACGCTCGTATCGTCGTTGTGATCGTCTTCTGGCATACACTTGTCAACACTTGTGTTCACTTCTGATGACGTTGATATTTCGGCTGTTTCCGTCGGAATGTTGAAGGTAGACGTATTCTTGCATTCTTGCTTCTTTATAAGTACGGTATCGTCTGTTTCAATATCCGTACGTTCTGTTTTCTGCAGTTGATCTTCAGAAATGCTCGACTCTACGCTTCGAGCCTCTTCAGCATTTAATATATCTTTCTTCGTTTCCGATAAACTTGATTCCGGAGCGTGCTCTTGAACGGCAGGCGAAGACTCCGCGTTCGGTATCAAAGAACTGATGGATGCAATTTCTTCGATAATCGTCTTGGAACATGATTCAATCGCGTCTGTCTCTTCTCTCACTTCATCATGATTTGATTTCGTCGATTCGGAAGCACTCAAACTATCTGCTTGTACTGAAGAATTGTTTGCAATTGGTATAGGATTCTTCCTAGGTCTGCCCCTACACCGTTTGGGAGGCTGGGCACTTGCGTCAATATATGGCGCGATGTCGGTCTCGGCAAGACACTCTTTGGTATCTAATTTTTGATCTTCGATTTTTGATTTGTCAAGATTGCCCGTAGCAACAACGTCACTCTCGTTAACTTCGGGTTTTGTGTGAGCCGAAGCGATATCGGAATTCGGAACAATTCGATCCTTAAGCCTCGGTCTGCCGCGCTTCCTTTTCTTACTGTCGTTCGTCGAGTCTGTCTTTGATTTTGCAACTTCCGCGTCCTGGAGATTCTTATCTTCAGTGTCATCGTGTGTCTTTTCCTGTAATGCATTCCTGTTCGTGTCTTCTTTCACTTCGTTCTGTTCCTTTTGTGCATCACGATTATTTTCGATCTCGTCGCTGTTATTCTCCATAGACGTGTCTATAAAGTACACGTCAGTTTCGACGTCAGACTCCTCGTAGTGCTGGATGTTTTTACTTCTTCTGGGTCTTAGACTGAACCGATTCGTCTCAGTGGAACCTGAAGTCTCTTCTTTTCCCTCGTTATCCACTTTGGCGAGTTTTCTCAGCGTTCTCCTCGTGGTCCTAGATTCTGTTCGCTGTTCAGCTTTCGTGTCAATATCATATGCTGATTTTGAACTTGTCTCTTCATTCGAACAATTAACAATTAATTCTGACTGATTCTTTATTTCATTAATATCTACACACGTTTTAGAAACATCTTCGATCTTTTCTATCGTTTCCATTGTTTCTTTTGTCGAAGCATAGTCGCAATATGGCGAGGAAATTTGCATGACGTCGTTAGTTGATTTTGAAAGCTCATTCGAGTCGATTTTAGATGTTTCCAATTCGGGAGAGTCCAAGATCAAATGCTCCTCCGCGAGATTCCTCTTCTTCGACTTGTTTCGCTTCTTCTCAGTGTTCTTGCCTCGTCCCGAATCCTCCTGCTTCTTTTGAACAGGCTTGATCGGTGTCGGTAACAACATCGACTCTTCCGGTGTCAAATGATCGGTCAGAACATACTCGTCGTGACTCATGTTCTCGGTGATCTTACAAATCTCCTCATCTAGCAGCTTATCTTCCAACGTCTGTCTTGCGTTTCCAAGATCCACCAGAGGTTTCGTCGATTCTGTGCTAACTGCGTAAGAAATGTAACTCTCGTCCGGTCCCAAAGACTTTTGTACGATTCCATGAGATCCAGCGTCTTCTGGAGCGCTCTCCATCTGTTGATCATTCTCTTGATTACTCTTCCACTCGTTGTCGTACTCTTCAGCGCTCTCCGATGTGTTAACAGGCTCGATTTTATCTTTGGTGGATTTTGCCAATTGCGATAGATGCGATTGCGACGACGTATGCTTCTTCAGGGAACTCTTGCGGGTAAAGCTGGTAGCGCACACGTCGCAGAAAAATTTCGCCGCCTCCTTCGTTAGCTTCTTTCTCTTTTCCACGATCAGGATCTCGCCGGTCTTCGTGTGCACCACCACGAAGTTGCCAGCTGCGCGTTTCTTCGGGGTGACCGGATTATCCGGAGAATCGTGAGTATTCGATGCCGGTCGTTCTAAGGCGTCCGAATCTTTGTCCTCTGTATCGTCCATCGTTTTGTCCGCGCCTTCGTTTTGCAGATCCGAAGATTTTTCAGCGAGCTCTCGTTCGATGTTCTCCAACGCTTCTGTATTTTCTAATGAAGCTTGGATGTCCACCGGAATATCGATATCGTCCGCATCGGAGAGATCAAGATGCTCGTCGAGCAATGATTTGGCTTTGCTCGTCTCTTTTGTTGGATTTTGCTTATCGCTCTTCAGAGCTGTCGAATCTGTGAGAGAAACGTCGTCACGACGCGTGTTATCATCAACTACCGTCTCCTCTTTCCTCTTCTTCTTCGCGAATCGCTTCTTCTTGAAGTAGCTAGACTCGCTGGCGCACGAGCTCTCAGACAGGTCGTCCGTACTTTCGGTACTCGGATTTTGAATGCTGGAATCGGCAAGGTTCTCGCTCGAGAGCTGTGCTTTTTTCTTCAACATAGATCTCGTCTTGGCTGGAGATGAAATAAGCCCGATCGAACCTGAAGAACTCGATCTTCCAAGCTTCTTCGTGCTCGATTCTTCTCCCACAACACATTTTTCCGTTTCTTCTGGTTCTTCGACTTTCTCATCGACCAGGTTGGACATCTCGCTGATTTCCGTGGGTTCCTCGTTTACCCGAGACTCTTCGGTAACGCTTCCGCCGTTCCAGCGACCATCCTCGGGCTGCGGTTTCTTTCTCGGATTCCGTTTCTTCCCGCTCTGCGGCAGATCCTTCACTTCTGGTATTTTGAAGTTCTCCAAGCTAACGGATAGCTGCTTGTTAGAATCTGCGATACTGGATTCGTCATTGTGTTTCGGAGCAACTTCAGCAGGCTTGTCTTCCGGTAGTTCTAGATGCTCATCGGCCAATGACTTTTTCTTCGCGCCACGTTTCTTCGTTGTTTTTAAAGGCGTCGAATTGACAAGACGTGAATTTTGCGAATCATTTGTACTTCGTGTCTCTTTATGCCTCCCAGACATTACTTCCGCTGAATTCAGTAATTTTTCTAAAGGAACGTCCGAGTCTTCGTTAATTGACCCAACTTTCGTCGGCTGCACATCAGTTGATTCCGAAGATTGTTCTCTCGCAGTGGACGACGAAGATGGTACTTTTTCAGTTTCGTCAATCGGTTTTATGGAAATTTGGAGATCGTCTGTAGTAGCATTTGGCGGAGAAGTTACTGATGAGGCAGTTTGCGATTTTCTTTTTGATGTACGCTTAGACGAAGGCGTACCGGTTTGACCCTTTTTCTGAGTATCATTCGCAAATTTTCCAGATCCATTTCTTCTATCTGAAGATAATATCGAGAAATCAGCGCTTTTTTCGATCAATTCTGCCGACTGAACAACAGCATCTTTATCGGAAATTATTTTGTCAATGGATTCTTCAAGACTTACCGTTAACTTCACATTTTCACAAGCTACTTCTAAAGGATCCGTACATTTTGGTAGATTCGATTCATCATTAGCTTTTGTAAGGTCCTTCTTTGAACTCGACGGATCCAAATCATCCTTGATGATTTCGTATTCGCTATATTGAGGTAATTTTGATTTTCCCATTTCGGTATCTGCGTTTGAAGTCTCCATGATGCTGCTCTCTTTTTTTGAAAATTTATTTCCAACACTAGATGCGCCTTTGGAATTGATGTTGTTCAATCGGAGTTCTTTCTGAATCTTATCTTCTTCTTTATCGATTTTTACCCGTTTCTTTTTACTTTTCCTAGGACAGCTCGCACTCTCCAATGATCTTTTGGATTTTCTTCTGGATTTTGTAACACGTTTCTTTCGTTCAAGTTTTTCGAAATTTTCTTTTTGCGTTATAATTAACGAAGTTGAAATATCGGTCAATGATGCAGGACTTTCATTTGGAATTTCTATGGGAATAACTGCTTCTTTATTCGTTATCAATTTATTCTCACAAAATTCAGCATGCGATTGTTCAACGGAACGCAATGCGTTACCGACTTTTCTGTCTACGTGCTCGTCACTCTTCATCTCAACACCTGAAACACCGTCAATTTCAGTTTGATTCTCGCTTTGCGTCTCGGTCGCCAAGTTTTCATTGAGATTGTCTGAAGTTTCTAAAGAATCCGTTGAATTTTTGGAAATCGCATTCTCATTGGTTTCGTCATCTTCTAACGCTCGAATTTTAGAATCAACAACCAGCAGTTCCTTATCAGAGGATATAACCATCACATTTTTGTTTTTCGAGGCTTGGCTTGCCTCATCAAAATTTGCATTCTCCGCGTTATCAGCCAAAGTAGGCCCAACCTCGTCGAGGATGCTGGTCAACTCATCGGCCGCAGTGTCAAGCAAGGAACCTACTTCACCTTCTAGCAGAGCGTCCTTCTGCTTCGCTATCTTCGACACAATTTTCTCTAAGAATGAGCCCTTGCCCTTAGGTTTTCTTCTGGACAGATCGAGAATGATGTCGTTAGCTGGCGAACACGCTTTAGGAGTGGTGGCTTTCGATGGCACGTCGACGAAGGCATTCTCAACCTGCATTTCATCAGGACAAGCACGAGCGTTCTTACCTGCGTGAGAACTATCGGTCGTACTCGTTGCTGTAACGGTCTCGTTTTCAGCGGATTCTCCTTCGCTCTTGGCGAGAACCGATAGCTCGCTGAATGCCGAGTCCGCGATTACGTTGCCCTCGCCACCGTTCGGTTGTTGCGCGCTTCCGTTTCGCGTTACCCTGTCCGGATTGTCCAGACTGGTCTGTACCGTGAGCACCTGCACGTTCTGCTGCGCCTCTATGGGGATATTCATGCCTTCCGTCAGAATACCGATGACGTTGTTCAAGGACCTCTTTCTCGATGATTTCTCGCGACGCGCGCCCCATGTTTTTTTAGGTCTCCCTACCTTCACCTTGGTGTGAACGTTCACGGAAGTTTCCAGGGAATTTTCCTTGCCGCTGTCGATGGACAAGTTGCTCGTTTCCGACTGCAAGTGGCTCAAATTGATATTAACTACCGTTGAGTCTAAGCGATCATCGGAATTTTTATCGTCCCCGCCTTCAGTGTTCTTCTTACAAATCTTATTGGGCTTTTCTTCGACTTCCTTCTCGCTTGACACGACATTTTCGTTGCTACTCTGTTCTTTGGACGCGCGCGTGTTAGTTTCTTTATCTTCGTCAATCGATTTGTTACGACTGCGACGTTTTCCTAGCAAGCCGCTACCTTTCCGAGAGCTATCGCTTGCGATTTCCAAAGAAAGCTCGCTTTTGGCATCGCTCAATGATCCTCTCGTTTGCCTGCCATCGGTTTTAGCTTCCACATCAATCGCAACCTCCTTCGTTTTCGCTGTTCTGTCTCTTTTACCCTGTTGACTTCTTTCGTTTTGCGCCGCAGTCGCGTTACCAGCCGAATCCTTCTCTGGACTTGTCTTCTTATCGTCACTCTTCTTCTCGATGTTTTTCCTGGGCGATTTTCTAAACGGCTCAATCTTCTCCTTCTTACTCGCGCTCTTCGATCCGTCCGATTCGTCATCGAGTTCCCGCGGACTCTTGTCACTCGCTTGAAGCATTTTTGATCTCGGTGTCAATTGCCTCAGGCTGCGTTTCGAATCGTTAGACGCGAGTTCCAATGTACTCAGGAGATCCTCCTTGCTAGCCGAACCCAGCAGTTTCTTCACCTCGAATGGTATGTCCGACAATTTCATAGAATCTTTATCTATTCTGGTTTTTAAGCTGCCTCGAGTTTCCTTCGTTGCTTCTTCCTTCTTCAATTTAGAATCTTTTTTAGCGACTGTATCTCTCTTTGATGTCTCTTCTTTGCTACTTTCGCTGCTATTAGTACTTACAACCGATAAACTCTTCCTACCTTTTATCTTATCGTCTTTTGAGGCTGCTATGCTATTTTTGGAAACTTTATTTTCTTCAACTGTATTAATTTTCTTTTGTTTCGTCATGTCTTTTGTTTTCTCTTTCGGCTTTCTGCCTCTCGTTGATTTCTGCTCCTTTCTGCTATTTTCAGGAACAGCCTCGAGATTAGCCTCGACATCACCTTCTTTCTCCTTCAAAGCGCACTTTGTAGATATTCGGGATGATTTTTGATTCTGAAGAGACCCCGACGTTACTGGCGACAAGATAGGCAGATCGTTCGCCGACTTATCGGCATATTCCTCGTTGGAAGAAACGATCTGCATGACTGGTTCCAAAGTTGGCATCTTGTCACTATCCGATGACAGCCGGGTGACTCTTCGTGGCAGCTGGACCTCAGCTTTCTTCAACTTCTGCGTCGCTTTCAGCTTAGGTTTGATTTCGATCGCGTCGGCAGCCTTGTGTTTCCGTTCGTCGTCCGTTTTCGTTTCCGAAAATTTCCCTGCCAAGCTCTTATTCGGATTGCGAGCGAACTTGCCGTCATGCGTTCGTAACTGCGACTTTGCCTTAATAGACGCATTCAAGGATGCTACTGGATCTATAGGGCGCTTTTTCTTCAGTATACCTTGCATCGATTTATTTTTGCTCTTTACTCCAGGAATCGTTGGCGTTTTCGTGCTATCGAGATTATCGTCGTCCTTGTCAATCGCCCTCGGCGTCGTCTTTGCGTTCTTTGGTGTACTCTTTGGGGAGGACGTCTCCTCGCCTTCGCCCTTCATCTCGGATGTAGTGCCGTTCTTGAACTTGGCGAACTTACTCATCGCTCTCGCCAGCTTGTTACGGCTTTTGCTTTGAAGTTGCGGATTCTTCACGTTCCTCCTCTTACCGAGGACTTTAGGTCGTCCAACAACTCTCGGTCGAACAGTTTTATCATTTTGGTCCGAAGTCTTGCTGGTCGCCTTCGACGAACCTTCGTTCGCCTCTTTGGCATCCTTCCTACTCTCGTTCTCGGTGCTTTTGTTGCTATCGCCATCCGATTTCTTCTCGGTCTCGTGACATTTCCTCACGACGCTCTCGATCACCGCGGCGATGTTGTCGCTCCGACAGCGATTCCGTTGAATCGACTTGGCGTTCTTCAGCAGTTTGTTCCTCAGGGCGGCTTTGTTACGTGAAATTCGGGACGAGTTATCGCCGATCATGCGAGGCCTCGTTCTAGTCTGCACCTGTTTCAACAAAGCCCAAAGATGCCGCTAAAGCTTTTGCGCTGATGAATTCAGTTTCGCTGCGATTGGGACGGAATACTAAGCTTTTGTCGTTAAGAAGCTAAATGTTAGAGCAAGAAAACCAGCGTTTTTTTTTAATCAAAAAGGAAGACATAAAGATCGTCCTGCCAGCGCGAATATGTGCACGATCATGGGAGTGTGTACTTCAACGAGTGCGTATGTCAACTAATCGATGCCTCCGCTCGTGTGCGACGAGGCGCGCAAGGTAATAACGCTCTATCGTCTATTTCGACGAGTTTTTCACGATTCTCCCTCGACTATTTGGCATATTTGCGCCGTTCAGGTGACACGACGTTTTGTCGTTCACGTAATTTGTTTTGATGATACACAAAATTACGTCAAGCCGTATTTACAACTACAATCGGCCTCGTTTATCATTTCTCGTTAGCGGTTTCTACCCGCGTAGGGAATTATAAGGAATTGCGTGACCTTCTCGGACAAGAAGTGTTTAAATGTAATTAAAAGTAATTATTGACGACAGATCGCGCTAAGCAGCTTGTCATCGAGCAATTTTAATTTTAATATTACGACATGTATGATTTCCATCGAAACAGGAGGATATTATCAAACTAAATTGCCATGAAATCTTTATATAGAAAGCCCATTAACGCTAGATATTATACTGTCGACGTCCTAATTAAATCAGTCGGCTATTATAATCGCCTTTTACGGCTCTAATATCGATCCAATTTTGATCGAGCGTATTATTGAGGCAAAGGTAGTCAGTGTTCCACGCTATTGAATTACTTACGTTACGAAGCCGGCCCTGCGATCGCAACATACTGTCCTGCAGAACCTTCCGCGTGGCTCTTTTAGCTGGCAGATTGGCGAGCATTTTCTGGATACTCTCGCCTGAGAATAAATCCGAGCGATCGCTCATGAAGCTACGTACAACAACGACTTGTCCATTCTTACTCTTAATATCTAAAATAATTAAATCTCAATGAATCTAGTGAATACGTTCACTTAAGTTTCTCTTCCGAGTAACGAGATTAAAAAGTTACAGGCATCACCTAATTTACAACAGACGTAATTATGTAAAAAAGATAGTGTCTCTTTTAGAAGATAATCTACTCAATAAAAATCGCGTTATCTTTTTAATCTATTTCTCTTTACGTCTTTAATCCGTTTCCTTATTTCGTTGTTCTTTGTTCGTTCGTAAATCTGTTACACAAAGTACGCGAGAAAGTTGATAAGGGAAGGCTGGAGTGTCTTTGCGCGAAATTTTATCGTGTTAAAAGCAAATTTCGTTCTTACGGTCGCTCGGCCGGACTCTAGGGCCGGTCGACGGCTGCTTCTCCTTAGGTCGCTCCACGTTGATGATCCGCGGCTGGGTCTGCGAGTTCTGTATGTTCCTCTTCATGCCGCGCTGACGCCGTCGACGGCTGCGGCTGCCGAACGGCCGCCACTTGCACTTCTTCTTGCCGCTACCGGTGAGGCCGAGCAACCAGGCCTGATCGCCACCGCACTCCAGCATGTGGCGATGTAGCTCGCCCATGTTCGGGCAGCTCTTGGCGCACTTGGTGCATACCATCTCCGTGAGGCAGGCGTTGCGTGCCGCCTCGGTGGGCGCCTCTTGTCCCGGCAGATAGAGGTGCTTGTAGTACTCGCGCTGATCGCCGGTCAGCTCAAAGTGTGAGCACAGAACGCGCGGATGCGTGGAAGCCTTGTGATCCTCCATCTCCTTCAGCGTCACCTGCACAGAAACATCGACGGTTCAGATCGCATCTCCGCGTTTCGTTTCCTATCCCTCGTTCGATTTCAAATACATAGCTTTTTAATTCTCGTAAACCGGATTAACGCGACACAACAAAGGAGATGTATCATACGGTTTCCCTTATTTGATTTTTTTCCCCTCCGTTAATGCGATAAATAGCTAAATAAGTTATTTTTGTGTCGCTAAGAAGGCCGAGCTTCGTTCTGATTTAGCATTACAGATTTTGTCAGATAGATCATGCGCTCCGCTTTGTACGCGGAGAAAGAGCGAGCAGGTCACCGTAGAGGCAAAGTTGCGCGAGTGAGTCGGTGATTTCGAAGGCTCGCTGCAAATGCTTACCACTCGTATATATCGCACAAATGTCAAAGATCAAGTACGTTGCTTGATAAATTATCTAGACCGCGTCCGCGCCAATTAAAATGTACCATTTGCAGCACAGTAAATCTAAAATCATCTCAAAATCATTAATGTAAGTATCTTTTATAATCTACGGTCTGTTTAATCTTTTGCAGTTGCTATATTCGAAACTTATTGTAGCGATTTTCGTGAATAACTAGAAAATCTTTGATTTAATAAATTTGAAATAATCGAACGATCAAACGTTCTGCTTACTCGCCTAGAATATTGAAATAGAAATCTTATGTTTGTTTATCGCTTTACAAAAGAACCGTTAAAAATTCAACTTTTAAGTTTAATAAAGAGTCCCTCGAAATGTGACCTTGATAATATCACATTGTCTCACATTTTTATCGCAAGAAACAAAACGCCGAGAGAACAGGAGACAGATAAGCAACACTTGCATTTGTCAGAAAGGAAATATTTAAATCTGATACAATAAAAGATGTAAATAAGTTTTAAATTATTATAATTCTCGAGACTGAACTGGCTTTTTCCCCGTAATGTTCCTTATTCAATTATCGTCTTTAACAAATATATTAATTTTAATATATTAATTTATTTACAATTATATTGATATATAATTTATATACAATTATAAATATTAATTTTAAATATATTAAAGAAAAAATGTAGAAAAGTATACTCACGTGTCTGGAGCCGCAGGCCCCGCAGATGTAGGTCCGCGCTCGCGACCATTCGCCGCTCAGCTCAGCATGAACGATTTCCTGAGCACTGGCCACTTTGTCGTCGCCCTCCTCGCACCTCCTCAGTCTCATAAAGTCTGCAAATTCACTAGTGAATTCCGTGATGATCGCCGAACTCGACGACGTCGTAGTCACGGACAATTCGGTCGTCTCCTTTTTGATCTCGCTCAGGAGCGGTTCGCCAACGTCGCAGCGGGCGACATCGAGAGTCCCGGCACCCGCATCGACCACACAGCTCGCATCAGCGTTATCCTGATTACTCGCTGCCGCTTTCGCGACAGACTCGGACTGTTCCTGATCGCGAAGAGACACCTCAGTGGTCTCGCAAGGTATCAACGGGGTCTGATGCAGTCTGCTGATGGTGTGCCGCTCCTTGATCAGCTGCTGCTTCTTCCGAAGTGATAGCTGCGTGGAAATGTCGAACTTGCTGAGGTCCTTGATCGAGCACGTCCACTGCTCCCTGCCGTCGTACTTTCGCGGAAAGTTGTACTTCTCGATGGAGACCCGGCGGGGTCGCGAGCCGCTGCTCATTTTACCGGGCTTCCGGGCGTGTTCGCTCGAGTTCTCGTACTCCTCGCTGGCAGAGTACTCTTTGTTGTAAACCGGCGTGACCGCGGTCAGCGAGATGTCGATGGGAAATTGGATCTGATTGACGCTGTGCTCGAAGTACGACTGCTGCGGTTGTTGCTGCGGTGATTTTGATTCGGTCGTCGTCGTCCCTGCCGTCGAGCTTGAGGTAACAATCGATGGCGTGCACGTCATCGTCGTCGTCGTCGTCGTCGTCGTCGTAGTCGTCGACGGGCCGCTCATCGTCTGCAGCTTGCCGTCTAGATGGTGCAGCAGGTTCTCGCGGATGTTGCAGCTCACGTTGCTGTAGAAGGAACTGTCGAATTCGGGACTGGCCGGATTGTCGATGGGCTCTCGCATGGCGATGAGTTTCGTCCGGCTGCTGTCGGCCACCCGCCGACTGTCGCCTTGATCCTCCGGTTCCTTCTCTTCGGACTTTCTTTCTCGAACCGACATGTTCACCTTTTCACGTAGATTTTGACTACACAATTCTTTGCAGGGGGACGAGCTTTCTATATTCTTCTCCGACTGAAAGAAAAAGAGAACACGTGTTTGTCTAACAACAATGGCTCGCAAGGGTCCAACAATGATCTTCAAAAGAAAAACTTTCCGACCCGAATTGGAGACAAAAGCGACAGTAGTCTCGTGTCGATTCTGAAAGTGTCCTTATATTTGTCTTACTGTTTGGGACTTCTCCGTCCTTCAAGGAACGCAATGCTATCATTTATTACCGGTTACTTCGAAATATGTTTGTTTTCTTGTTTCTCGTTTCTAATCGTAGTAATATAACAATACTCCATGCGAAATTTAAAATTTTACAAGTTATTAAATAATAAAAATGTAAATATTATACTAACAAAATATCTCGACTATAAAATAACTGTAGAAGAAAAAGTTAAAACAAAATAATTTTTGAAATAATGATTTAAATATACATACGTATGCTCGACGGTAGAATAATGTCAGTAATAAGTATTTAATAACCGAGCCACGAATGGATAAACGGTAGGAGCGGAAGATTAAAGAAATTTTCGCGGATTTAATAATTTTGAACATGCAACAAACATCGAGCGAAGCATTAAAATTCTATTTTAAGCTGAACAATATTCGCGTTGCGCATCGATTTTTGCTATTTTCCGACATTTACCTGAATCTGGCTGATTCTCTCGGCGCTTCCTCCGTGCGTCTCGCCCATGTGTACCACCAGAGCTTCCCGGGTGGGATACCTCGTCGAACAATGAACGCACGCGTGGTACTTATCCCCGTGGCTACCGACCATGTGTTGGAACAACGCCTCCAGGGTGTCGGCGCACTTCTCGGAGCAGTACTGGCAGTTCTGCGAGGGCTTCCGGAGGTTCCTCCCGGATCTCCTGCCACCCCCGAGCTGATGCGCCCTCTCCGTGTGTCGTTGTTGCAGGGACATGGACAGGAACTTCCTGTCGCAATAGAGACAGAGAAGTCTAACCGGTGGAGTGGTGCAAGACGACGGCTTCGACTTCTGCGTCGGCGGAGGAGGAACCAACGGCGATCCCGAGGAAAGTCGCGAGGCCACCGATTCGCCCGCCTGACAGTTTTGAAGCACCGACGCGACCTTATCCAAGGGTAGGCTGCAATGCAGCCCCGTCACGGGCAACTCCTGAACGCTCGAGTCTTTGGCCTCTTCCACCCTCGACTTGGTCGCGACGGTCTTCTTCGGCTTCTCGCACTCCTCGGCCTTTTCGTTCTCGTGATCGTCAATCGTACGACAAACGTCGCTCAACAGATCGTCCACCAGTTCGCCGCAGATCGCTCGCACCTCGATGTTTTCCGAGACTGCGTGTTCGTCACGCGTTCGGCTTCCTCTGCCGTCGTCCACGTTTGCCCTCTCCTCAACCTGATGCTCGCTCAACCTGTCCATTATGATCGTGCTCAGTGTACGACTTTCCTCGTTTTCTCTCGAAACACTTGGATCATCCTCGGACGATTCCTTCTCCTCAACGTTCGGACGTTCTTCCTCCATCCTCGAGGGAGGCTGCTTTGAATCTTGACTAACTCCAATCTCCGAATGCAGACTCTCCTCTGCCGTTCTCTTTATATCCGAGCAGTCTGTAGTCTCTGAGGATTCGGCGTTTTCAACCATCGAGGAGTCCTCTGCCAACCGCGGCACAACGGCTGCTTCGATATCACCCTCGCTCGAAGGCTCGGATTTAACCGCTGTATCTGTCGGGTCTTCTTCCTCCTCCTCCTCCTCCTCTTCTTCCTCCTCGTCGTCAGCACCTTCCCTCTGCCTTTCCAGCTCCTTTGTCTTCTCCGCGTTCTTGTCCTCCTCCTCGTCCTTGATCACGCCGTTCAGCACCGTCATCACGTACTTCTCTAGAGTCTCCAGATTTCTCTCGACGCTATTCCGATCGTCCTCTTCCTTCCTGGGCGAGTCCGAGTTTCCACTGACGGCTCCATCCGGCACCTTCTTGCGCAGGTTGTTGATCACATTGCTCAGCCGCGACCGCTTATCCTGGGCGGTCTGCGCCGACGATCTGTAGGCGTGACCGTAACGTTCCTGCTGCTGCTGCTGCTGCTGCTGTTGATGCTGCTGACGGTCGGCGTTGCTTCCTGCCGCGTTGGCGGGATGGTTGACGGCCAGATCCTCCAAGCTCTGCGTCGACGCTACCATTCTATCGGACGACGACGCCGAGTCGGATACCGAAGGGATGCCGGACAACTTCGCCGTGTGATAACCCTCGACCGTATCGTCGCTCGGTGTCTCGCTACCAGCTACGTCCGCCGAAGCCGCCTCTAAAAGAGATTCTCCGCTGTTAATCGTCGCCGTTTACGTCGGTGCCGCCTTCCGAACACGGAACCATCGTCGCGAAACATCCTGTGTTCTCGATCGTTGAGAAACGATTCGGGCAAGTGTTGGGCGCTCAGAGCCTCTCAGCCTCCTCGACAGATATCGCGCAATTTATTTTCGGACCGCGAAGATAATTGTTTAAAAACGGACGGCACGCGGTAAATCGTCGCCGCAGAGAAACAAGCGGGGTACGACGGCTGTTTATTTATCTAGAGCTGGCCACGTTTCACGTAATCTCATCGTGGAGAAAACTCTATTCGCCCGGCGCTGCTTAATATTAATCTCGACGGTTCAACTGATTTCCCGCTCTGATCGCGTCTCGGATAAAACCGGTTAACTAACTCTTAATTAGCAATTTTCCGTTTCCTTTGTAATTGCGCCGATGTAGAAATAAAAAGTCAATTAATCTGAATTTATCTCGTCGTATTCTTTTTTTGAATGAAAAAAAAACCGAGTGACAAGAAGCGAGATAAATCATGGTCAGCGTTAAGCAACGTTGATAAAATCGAAGATAATTATTGCAGCATAGATAAAAATGCAACAAAAAATATCGCCACGTGCATTTTAACTCTACTTTGTAATTTTCAAAATTAAATAAATATCAAACTCTGTTTTTAGCGCGAGTGACAAGGAAAAGTGGGTTTTTGAGGGCCAAACGCGGTTAGCTGGACTAATCGCGTTTGACTCTCAAAGTCCACTTTTCCTCGTCGCTCGTGAATTTTTATATAGAGAATCTTTAGTTGATCAATCATTTATTTCAATATAACTCTGTCTTAAATCGCTTCGTAACGTTATTAATATAACAATCGAATTAGTTTATTACTTTTCCTGAAAGTTGAAAAAAACCGCAATTTTCAAATCGTACAAAAAGAACATTGAAGAATAGATCCACTTGCAAGCTCAAAATAAAACTTGACAAATCGCGGATTCGCATCTCAGCTCTCTGCGCTTCGAATCCACCAGACCGTTCTAGTTTCCTCGTCCGAAAAAAAAAATATATATACACGTATATATTTATCGTTTAGAGGAGGGAAATGAAAAATATTGAAAATAAAGATAAACGCAGATATTATCCGCCGCGAGAAAATCAGAAAGAGAGAAAGAGTTCTCTCCTCGGCTGTGTCTCTGCCGACACTTTTTTATCCGGAAGTCGGGGAGAAGGGAGGCTGCGAGAATCGATAACCGTCCCTCTGCCACGTCGAAAGGGGTTACGGCTGTACGAGTAGCGTGCACTCCGAAAGGGAGAGAGAGGCAGACGGATATACATGTATATATCACGCGCCACACACACACGCGCGCGCGCGTACACATACGCGCCTGTACGCGCGCAGACATACCCCACAGCCCCTGACAACAGCCCCGAGGTGGTAAAAACCGGCCGGCTTAGTAATACCCGCGACAATCCCTTCGACCATCCGGTTCGTTTTGCGAAAGGCGTTGACAACAATGGTAATTAATGGCTCGTCTATCGCGGGCTATTAACGATACCGATATACCGCCACCCCCCATTTCGCGCGATATCGATTTGTTTCTCCGTCCGTCTCCTACGAGAGCGTTCCCACCTTTTCGCCTTTTATATGGTTTATACCGTACGCGACGCGCAGTATATGGATCCGCCGGGACTTTATCATCGTTAGAATTGCGAAAGAGCCCGATCCCGCCAGAAACTGCAGTCCCGGGAAACTCGGCGAATCTTCGTGAGCAGTTCAGACGTAATGCCTCAAAATCGTCGCGAGTAAAAACGAGAGAGAGAGGGAGGGAGAAAGTTACATTTTCATAATGAACAACATTGCCTCTCCTATTATCAAGGGAAAGTAACGTGATTATCTCGGAGCAATTTGTCTCTCCATCGTATTTTAATCTCTAAAGTGAGTAATTTTCGCCGTTGCCTCGCATACGTTACGTAGATAATTCACGAAGTCATAACGCAAGTTATTTACTTAATATATTAAGCAGAGAGAAACAGTGATCTGTAATTATACCCGTTGTCCTTAATAATGAAAGAGCTGACAAAAAAACTAGCGTATAGTATGAAACAAAAGGGGGAAATAATTTCAATCGGTGAGTTATCCCGTCTTCAGTACACGTATTCAGCTAAAGGTCAAATATTTTCTCGTCGTTTCTCTTTATTTGCAATATTTCTCCGCGGTATGAAAATTTCCCCGTCTTCCCGTAGAGCACTCGCCTCGGAAAATTACGTCAGACATAATTTCCGGGGAAAAATTTTCCTCATCCGGGAATAATTTCAGGAGTAATTTCCAGAAATAATCCCAAGAAAAGTTCTCGCGGAATTTCCTTCCTTCCAGAGAAAACGCTGCCCTTGGAAAAATTCCACGGAAAATATCTCTCCTCCCAGGAGAGACATTTTCCCTACGACGCTTTTAGGTCTCGGATAGGTAAGGAATACGTTGTATTTCAACGATATCAATGATTCGGAAAGAGTTCCTGAGAGGAGCTCAAAGAATTCGAATGCCGGAGCAAAAAAAACGTCCACGATTCGTGAGGCCTGGTTTGAGATATACGAGTTCGTGTCTAATTGTAGGTTTGGGCCACGCAAATCACGGACTCGCCTCCGACACAGTCCGTTCAGATCGAGAGATGATCACCGATCGGCGACTAGAGTCCCTCTAATCAGAGTCAACAAACGGCAACTTTTGATTTGGTCCTAATTCTGGCAACTCTCGAAAGAAAAACAGAGAAAGAAAGTGGTAGAAACAACGAATGACTATCCATCTCTCTCGCAGAATCTTGCCAGAACTAGGTGTCCAGACTAGAGTCCCTCTAATCAGAGTCCGATCAACAGATGACGTTGATCTATTTCTGGCAACTCCCAAAAGAAAGATAGAGAAAGAGGAGAAGAAACGGAAAAAGAAGAAAAGAGAAGAAAATGAATAGAAATAGCGGATGTATATTTTCTTTCGTAGAATTTTGCCAGAACGGCTATTGGTCTCTGATCACAAGTATAGAAACTCTAGATGAGACTAGAATTCCTCTAATCTGAGTCCGATCAACAGACAACTTTTGATCGGTCCTTCTGTTTCTGGCAACTCCAAAAAAAAAAAGACGGAGAAAGAGAAGAGAAAATGGAAAGAAAAGGAAGAAGAAAGAAATGGATAGAAATGGCGGGTGTATAGCCTTGTTCGCAGAAATTTGCCAGAACCGACTAGAGTCCCTCTAATCGGAGTCTGGTCAACAGACGACTTTTGATCGGTCCTTCTATTTCTGGCAACTCCAAAAAGAAAGACGGGGAAAGAGTAAAGGAAATGGAAAGACAAGGAAGAAGAAAGAAATGTATATCCTCGTTCGCAGAAATTTGCCAGAACCGGCTATTGGCCTCTGATCACGAGTATAGAGGCTCTAGATGCGACTAGAGCCCCTCCAATCGGAGTCCGATCAACAGACGACTTTCGCGATCGGTCCTTCTATTTCTGGCAACTCCCGAAAGAAAGACAGAGAAAGCGGAGAGGAAGCAGAAAGAGAAGGAAGGAGATCGAAATAGCGGATGTACATACTTTTTCGCAGAAATTTGCCAGAACCGGCTATTGGCCTCTGATTACGAGTACAGAGGCTCTAGGTACGACTATTACGAGGTCTCTCATCGGTCGGATTCATCGGTGGCGCGTCTGCGCCGCGCGAGCAGGCCCGACAATTAGCTAGCCGTAGCCGCCAACGACTCGCGGTGATTGCGATCTCGACTACCAGCGTGACTACTTTCAAAATCCCGCGTGTGTTTTGTACACACAGCCGTCGGCGGGGGCCCGTGAACGCATGACGGACACCGTTGCGCAACGCGCGACGACGAGCGCGCCTCGCGACACCGAGGATACGTCCGTGTGGGTACACGCACGCGACCGGCCACGGCCGCCGCCGTTTACTTATGCCGCGCCGAAGGTGATTAGGTAATAATAAAGATAACGAGGTTGAAATTAACGGCTTTTAGCGCAGCTACATCGTGTTGATTAGGCAAACTAGTTCTGTAACTTCTGCAAAGGACGCACGAGTCGCTGCTACTCCTGCAAGCGCGATTGCTCGAGGATAGCGTGACTCGACGGATATGCGTCGCGATAAGAAAAAAATCGTTCGGCGTCGCGAGAATGTCACTTGTGCGCACGTGTAAAGTTGGATTACTTGAGCAGCAAGACTTAAGACTTAAAGGAAGTGACCAATGACAGAGTCGAGAACGTAAGCAGCCACTTGGAGCTTTAAGCCACTCTCAAACTTGCACAAAACATATCATATCCTTTTCATTTTACTAAGAGATATTTGCTCGCAGAGGTCGGCATGATCTCGTATATTCGATAGCGCATTCGAATCCTTATGGCATGTACTAGAGGGGTCTTCGGGGGTGTGGCCATCCATACAATGGTCTACCAAACCGACCATCGAGTGAGATACCACGCGTCGCTCTGGAGTATGCTATCCCTACTTTATTTAGTAAAATATTTGGTAAAATAAAGTAGATAAACGAGAAGGATTTCGAGTGTGTGCCTGGACAGCCCAGTTGGGAGAGTATTCGCCCAGCAAGGTCCCAGGTTCGAATCCTAATCTACTCCTAGCCCGTTATTTTTCTCGCCGAAAGTTAATAAATTTAAGGCCCGAAGATACACCCCTATTTATTACCGTGGAAAAATATTAACATTTTTGCATGCTTATCTCGTTTTCTATTGAGCTCTATTTTTCTATGAAATAATATTAACCCTCAAAGCGCGGCCCGTAACGTCCATGTTAAAAAGTACAATATTTTTTTATTTCATCGGCGACCGGGTCTAAACTTTTGCGTACTGATGGAGAAAACTTGCAACTACAGCATACTCAAATTTCAATTTTTTCTTTTACCCCGTTCATGCAGGAGCCACCTTAAGCTTATTCTACAATGGACGCAAAACGCGAGACGCTAAGCCGCAGCGCAAGAAATCGCTCAATCACAGTCAAATGTGAGAAGAATGATCGACTGTCATTCGCCGATTTCTTGCGTCTTGCGTCCATTGTAGAATAAGCTTTAAAGAACGCCACGAATATCTACGTTGTCTCGCGCACGATTTTGATATAACCAAATGTATTCGTTCATCTGCGAGACTTTCGCAGAGAAGGAGAGTTGGCTCTCGGACATACGTCCGTCTGCCCCGCGGATGTAAATGCGAACGTCACGTAGCTGCTTCGCCGGAGCCTTGAAAACAATCGTTACGCCATCGTAATCCGGCAGTCGTGTTCGCGTTTATAGCCGTGTTGCGCACGGGGGTCGACGAATGCATTTTGCGGATCTTGTGCAGACCCGGCTAGCTTTACCCCCGATCGATAATTAATATAAGAGCGTATCTGGGGCTAGACTCTTGAATTTATCGCTAAGAGAAGCGACTTGCGAGAAGAGTTGTGAGAAGAGCCAATCGACTTACAACTTTTCTGCAAGAGCAGAATTTGCGCATACGTTTCTTTCGCGAATAAATTCAAGAATCTTGCGCCGAGGAAAAAGGATTTATCCCAGTTAAATAAATGAGATGCGTCGAAATCGCGTTTCTTTGAGTCTGCCAAATTTTTATTCACTTTTACTAAAATACTTGCCAGATTCGAACAAGTAGATATGAATTCTCTTTAGAGATTCCAGTCTCGATGGAATAAAATTTTGGTTAAGGTAAAGAAGTCGTTTCTTTGAAATAAAGTCTAGTAAGGTCGAAATTTTGACAAACTTGTTTTCTGGGCGTGTCCCTTGTTCCATTGTGATTTCGACTCGCGGCGTTAAACGCCCTCGTGATCCCCCGAGGCGCTACACAAATGTTGAAAAGATAAGCGCGATATACTTGTAGCATTTAAATATATTAAAAAGGCCAGTGCTCCAGGAGCTCCTTTTCGAAGACACGTACTTTGGACCACTTTAATGATACGTCTGACCGCAATTCATGAGCCGATTATAATTTGAATCACTGAGAATATGACGCAGAGCATTCAAAACCGGAGAACAAGGAAGAAATTGAGCATATGTCGTATTTAACGACGACTCATGACTTATAGAGGTGTGACATTTTCATGTTATTTTTTTGATATTTTTTGCGTTATTTTGATAATGTTCTTGACAATGCCGCGACCAGAGGTGGGCAGGGCTTCAATAAGACGACTTAGGTCCGGTTTCACCAACGTCGCTTAACTTGAAACTTGGTTTAATTCGTTCTTTGTCTCTTTCCAACTTTAGAAAGAGGCAAGAGAACGAATTAAACTAAAAACAACGTTGGTGAAACCGGACTTTAATGTTTTGATAGAACAATTTACGACAGTTATTAAGGCCAAACTATGTTAAAAAAATGTAACATAAAACATAACATAACATATTAAGATAGCATGGAACAAATCACTGAAATTACATATCATTTTCAGGCTATAAAAGCAGTAACATGTCTAAGAAAAGTAAAGAAAAACTTAGGTCTTAGGCATAAATCTCTTTGGTTTAGGATACAATATTGACGTTAGAAATGTTTATTAAGGAAAATTGCTATTTTTGACGTTATTTGGACGCTATTTTGCGTTTTAAAAACGTGTTAAAACGAAGTTGGAGTACTCCAAAATGTAAAGAAATGACATTAAAAACGTTCCTAGAGCATTTTGCGATATTTTGCGTATAGAGATAGCATCAAAATGTCACAGCTCTACTTATGATTTCGATTTTCGCTTCGGGCAGGCCGGTCTGAAGATGTTCAGGAGGAAAACCCGCGGAAACCGCGTATCGGAAACTCGCGTGATGATGAAACGCGAGACGGCGGTGACACGACACTTGGTGCATACGAAAGAATTCATCATTATCTGTTGTTGACTCGGCGCGATCGTCAAACTGATGACGAGCGGAGCAGCGACTCGCCGCCTGTTTCCTCGCCGATTTAAATAACTATAAACCGCGTCGTCGCGAATTACATTTACCCGATTTCTGCGCGCATCAACTGCCCCGAAGGGACTCACCTCTGCTGGGTGCCGGTGGGGCCCTTTTCGGGGTGTCGTCGGCCGAGGGTGTTCTTTCCCTCATGCTTGCCCTTAGTTGAATCCCTCAGCATCATCATTTAGTTCTGGAAAAGAACAGCAGAACACGAACTCGCGTGAATCAACAGCGTCGGCACTTGCTATCGTTATAATGAGATTTTCGAGTGAAAACAACCGAGAACACTCGATACTTTTACATATTTGTCGGAAGCGAGGTTGAGTAAAGAGGGGGGAAAAAATTGAACTCGAGGTGCGCGCACGAAGTCTCTCCAATTCCTTCTATTCAATATTATATCCCCCCCCCCCCCCGGAGATTAGCACAGGCGATATGTTTGCTCTCCTGCCCGTTCGCTCATTAATAAAAGCCACATAAGTGGAGCACGAGGCAAAAAGTGACACGAGTAACTCGACTGACCCCGTGGCGATTGCGAATCAAGCGTGCCTGGCAAAATTCGCATTTTAATCGCCCGAGAAATCGCGGCGTCCGAGGCGCTCGCCCAAGCTAGTCACGCGGAAGTTTGGCACTCGCGTGAGCACGAGGGCCGGGATTTCGGCGAGGATTCGAGAGGAAACAAGGCGGCGGGAAGGGGAGGAAGTGAGAGAAGAAAGAAGAGGACGGGGAGAAAGGTGTTTGCCTTCGCCGAGGATCGAGCTCGGTGCCGACCTCGGCCGGCAGCGCGCATCGGCCAGAAGAAAATCTTTTCAAGTAGCAACAATAGAAGTGAATAGAATAGAAGCGGTTTTTTTCGGTGCAAATATTTTTGTCCCCCTGAGGACAACGTGACAACGGGGGGGGGAGGGGGGAGGGAAGATGGAAGGAGAAAGCCGTATCTTCTTCGTTATCAAACATCCTACCCGAAGGAATAATAAACCGGATATTAAGTATTCTCCGTTAAACATCGTATTATAATATCCGTAGGCATTCATAGAGTAATAATTACTCTTGCAGAGCCCCTTCTCCTCTTGCAACTTTTAAAAGTTAAAAGCCTCGTAGACTTTTAAAGCAGCCACGGCAAGCAGTCGCGTTACGTAACCTGAGAGGGGAAAATAGGAAAACGTGAGAATGCGTTACTTAAGGGCCGCGATAAAAGGAATTTTAATGACGGCGGGGCGACACCATATCTCGCGCTCGCTCCGTTAATTCCGGGCAAAAATAAGGATGCCGTAGGGCGAAAGAGATATAATATAAAGGTCCGTTGGAGAGACCGCACGTGTGGACTTCTGGGATTAAGCGATAACGTTTGAGTGGGAGATGAAGCAATGCCGAAGAAGGGAAAACGGCAGAGCGGAAACGGTGACGGAGAGCGGGAGGGGAGGTGCAAAAGGGAGGAGAGGAGATCGTGGGGAGGGCGCCCCGCTGTCCTGGGTGGAACTTAAAATATCGAGCGTCACGCACATCGACGCTGGCGCCGGAAACTCGGGAAACGCGGCGTCGCGACGCGGCGCGGCTCGACGCCCGTCGTCGTCGTCGTCGTCGTCAGGGAGAAGCCTAGAAATAGAACTTGGACGCCAACTGCTCGCGAAAGGCGGGCGACCGCCTCTATCGGGCCCCATGGGAATCGGTTGGAATTTTCAACAGGTGAAAAAGTGGAAATTCCGGTACGTCGCCAAGGTGTGGAAATGCCTGAAACGACCCGCGGCTACCGTCGGATGATGACGTCAGTTTCGAGCGCACAGGATCGGCGACGACGAGGACGAGCGCCGCGACGTGTCCTTGGCAGCGCGTGGCTGCCGAAGGATACTGGAGGATCAAGTCCCTCTAATCGGAGTCCGGCGAACGTACGGCGACTTGTGATCGGTCCTTCTGCTTCTGGCAACTCGCGAAAGGAAGAAAGAGAAAGCGGAAGGGAAACAGAAAAGAAGGTAGAAAGAGGCAGAAATAGCGAGTGCATGTCTTTCTCCCTCGCAGAATTTTGCCGAAGCTGATCTGTTGGCCAGACACCGATCGTTAGGGACTCTAATGCCCATTTCTACACCGAGAAAAATTCCCATCGGATAAACCAATTAAATAGTATTTCCGATGGTTAATTTTTCACGAGGGGAAAACCGCTGAGGTCACCGTGGTGCACAGATTTGCGGCATTGCTGGGCATTTTTGGAGCATTAGGCCTTGCTGGAGCATTATAAAGATAAATAAGATAAAGTAATGCCCACTGAGCATTAGTGGGCACTGGTGTACAAGATTTTGGGTCAGTGGTTTTCCCCTCGATTTTTCCGATTGCGTTTCCCCATTAAATTATGGATACATCGAATGAAATGTGATTCAACAAACCGATTACATTTTTCATCGGATATATCCGTTTGTTATTATGTAATCGGATTATCCGATTATACTTAATCGAGTATTTTTCTCAGTGTACCAAATGCAGATTAATTTTAATCCCAGTTTAAATGAGCTCTTCTCTTTCCCCAATTCCTGAAACCGGAAAAATATAAAAAGTTAAACCGAGATCAAAGTTAATCTGCACGGGTGAAAATGGACCATAGCCGAGGCAAACGGCGATCCCTCTTGGATGTCAACTGCGCTCCCGTATAATCGAACGATATTTCCGGGGACGTCGCACCACGCTCTTAACGCCATTATAAAAATCGACAACTTTTTAGGCGCCGAAGATAGCCGTCGTTCCCAGCGGCGGCAGCCGCGAGAATTGATAATACTTGAGGCGGAGGATAGAGATAGCAGCGCCGATGCCTTCGTAGCCTCCTATTGATATCTTCTAGATCTATAAATATTTCTTGTAGTTAAACGCGGACAAGATTAGATCTAATAAGACGGCTAACGCGCACGACAATTTGCTGTAACTTTAACTGGAGAATTACTACACTGAGAAAAATTTTCACCGGATAAACCAATTAATTAGTGTTTCCGGTGGTTAATTTTTCCGATTAAATTATGGATACATTCGATGAAATTTATTCGCCGAAATGCAGTTACCGATGAAATTTGATTGAAAAACCTATCACATTTTTCACCGGATAGCACGATTTAATTGAATATATCCGTTTGTTATTATGTAATTGGATTATCCAATTGTACTTAATCGGACATTTTTCTCAGTGTACGCGCGCAATAGGTACGTTCCTCTTACGCGCGAAGAATAATTACGCGACAATCGACCCGTTATTGTAGCGGCTGTTATACACAGAATAACAACTAAATTCATTAAATTTCACAGTGACGAGTCGCAACTTTGGCCTCTTATTAATTCCCTCCAATTTCGTTTCATCCGCGCGGAGTTCCGCAGAGCGTTCAAGTTCGCCGGAATCCGCTGAGGAGAGCTTAGGAAATCCGTCGTCAAGACATTTTTCGCGTCGCGTCCTCGGTCTGGCTTAACTACCGAATATTTGATAAGTTCAACCGTCGTTCCCAACTATACTTCGTCCTCCCTTAACGCTCGCGGAATGAGGAATGCGGAAACGCGCGATACCGCGTGCGGCTCTTATCCTCTTCGCTTTTCCTCTCCCTCCCTCTCCTTTCACATTCGGAGAATCCGATTCGGAGAAGCCGGCCGGCGGCTTTGTTTTCCCTCGCGGATGTAGAGACAATAACGAGACGCCAAGTTTTCCACAATTCTCCTCGAGCACCGCGGTATCCCGTATTAATTTATGATTATCGAACATGTCCGCGATTGAATGTCATTATTGTAAGTCGATGCGGGCCTTCGATGAAAGAAAAGGAACATATTAGTTCACTGTCGACCACACGGAGGGAATTTTCTCCGAAAATTTATCCGGAAAATCACGCAATCGTGGGACCAACGCGGAACTTGGGAGAATTTTATGAAACTTTACCTGCACACATTTTACTAGCAATTATAATTGACAAGTCCTCTATTATGAGATAGGATTTTAATGTGAGCGAGTAGGTTTTCAACGAGGGGGAAACCGCTGACAAAAATCTTGCACACCAATGCCCGCTAATGCCCGGTGGGCATTACTTAATCTTGTTATCTTGTTTTGTCTTATTTTATCTTTATAACGCCGCAGCAAGATCTAATGCCCGAACTAATACCCCAAAAAATGCCCAGTAACGGCCGCAAATCTGTACGCCACAATGCCCTCAGCGGTTTTCCCCTCGGTTTTCAACGGCAAAATTCAATGACAAATCTTTTTTTCGCAACGATTGCACGATCTAACAATCAATTCTCCACTAAACGGATTTCATTTCAAGGGCAATAAATTCGTGGTGGAACCAACGGATGGTGCCTATTAATTTAGCAGAAACTCCCATCTCATATCAGGAGCCTATCTCGTAATAGGGGACTTTCCTCTCTTTTTTCCCCTCTGTATACTATACTGGCAAAATGTGTGGTGAAATTTCACAAAACTCACGTGAAGCTCCTGAAAATGCCATGTTGTTCCACATGAATTTCAGGATGAATTTTGAGAGAAAATTCTCACGGCGTGCGAGTCCCGCGAGGAACGTTTCCGAATCGTTAAACCAGCGACGGGCATAGACGTAAAAGTGTTTATAATGATGATCAGCCGGCGTTGCGATACATTTTTCATATTTATAAATGCGGAACGCATATTTATAGCACCGATGATTGAAGCGCGTCGAGATTACGCCATTAAACTTGTGCCTCCTTTCATCGGAGTAAAGCTCGTCGGGTTTGCGCTAAACTTGAAAAAGCGATCGAACGGCGGGCGACTTATCGATTATTATTCGGGGAAAAGGAGGCTGCTGAGAAAATATTGACAGTTCGCCGAGATAAAATTATCTCGGTGTTAATTTAATTTCGGTCGAATTATCAGCCCGGGCGCGCGCTTAATCGCAGATTATTTCGGGGCGCCGTATAAGTCGCTATCTACGACGATAACAATGTTGTTGCATTGCATTCGTGTAGTCCCGATTACGGCCACTAAACACAAGGTGCGATTAGCTCTTTCGCGCAGCGGCACGTCGAGCTGCCGCTTCGGAGGAGGCGCAAAGTAACGGGAGGGCGAATCGTTAATCACATACTTAATGTACACGCGCTAATTCTCTATTCTATATTGTGCCCGGGCGTTAAACAACAATTTCCAGCCCGGCGATTACGTATTAATGCGAGATTAATTAATTATTAACGCGCACGATAATTTCACGC